TGAAAACATCAGGAAAGAAGAAGAAGATCGGAAAAAGAGACATAATTTAAGGTAAGTGCTGACATTAACATGGGGGGGGGGAGGGAAAACATTTTTTGCCTTTAATGTCACTTTAAGTAACATGGACAGGACCCACGCATTATAATAAACACACTAAAAAAGTAGGGTCATCAGGGACGTCAAAGTCACCCTTCATATTAAGTGCCCCCTTTCACATCAGAATGCCCCCTTTTACATCAGGAGTCCCCCTCTCACACTAGGAGCCCCTCTTCATGTCAGAAGCTACCTTCACATCAGAGTCCCCCTGTTTCACATGAGGCATCCCCCTCTTTGAAATCAGGAGCCCCTTCACGTCAAAATCCCCCCTTTCACAACAGAATCCTCCTCCTTTACATCAGCAGCCTCTTCACACAAGAAGCCTTCCTGAACCATGGAAAGGCATGACCGCTGTGGGAAAACTTTGAGACACCCCTCAGGAAGCCAAAAGACACCCTGGCCGAGAAAGGCTGCTCTAAACAGCACTGCGTGTTTGCGCATGTAACCCAACCTTGGCAAGACTGTGTTGCAACAGCAGCATAAGAGGGATTTTGAAATGGGAGCTCAAGCATCAGGCAATCACTTCCTCCATACATAGGCAATCATGGCCACACCTTAAGTATTCCTATTCCATACAAAGGGGGCAATCACAACAGACTGGGGGAATTTATCAAAACTGGAGCAGAAGAATCTGGAGCAGTTGCCCGTAGCAACCAATCAGCTTCTCTCTTTAGTTGGTTCAGTTAGGCTTTGAAAATGAGACAGAGAAGCTGATTGGTTGCAGTGCACAATTGCTCCATATTTTGTCTGCTCCAGTTTTAATAAATTCCCCCCATTGTGTGCAGGGAATTCTATAGTGGCCACCACACACGATAGCTGCACCATTCAACTCAGCCCTCAGTGAAGCCCTTGATGGTAAGGTGAAAGAATTGCGACAATCACATGACTGCATCTGGAAAGGCTTTACAGGAAGCAAAAGTGCACAAACCTTACACAGAGCTTTTAATTAAGAATTTCAACAGGTAGACATGGAAATAGGGGAGCGTGGGTAAAGCATCGGCAGGAAGGAGGGTGGCCCATAAAGAGAACCTGTCACTTACCATTAAGGCCCATCCTTTGCCCTATATGGGCACACTGACAGGTTCACTTTTAGACCAGGTCTTTCTGTCAGTGGTAAATGTTCCTGCCTCACTCACCTTGTTTCTCAGGTATTTGGAGGGGCTCTTGATGTCAGCATTCAAGTGGGACACATGGATGAACTTTTCCACTCCGGCCTCCTTAGCTAACTGAGCAATGTTTTTAGGGATATTTACAAACACATCTTCAAAACTGTAGTTGCTAAAACACAAAGGGATTAAAAATATAATTTAAAAAAACACGAACTACATTTTAGTTGGTATGCAGAAGAAATACAGTGTAAAAATCTTTTTAATACATTTAAATGACAGAGCTATTTATCTATAAAACACTTTTTCTCAGTCTCTGAAGCTAGGAAGGCTGCAAATATGACTATTGGATGATCTCTTTAGGTGAACCTGTCATGACAGAAGTACAGTGGTGGTCACTGCTAACCTCCTGAAAAGTCACGAATGGCAGACTCCATAATGCTCCTATGATAGCTTTGCTTTAACCTATTCCTCACCAACAACATTAACTGCTCCCAGGAGGCCAATGCTATTAACTAATGTCATATAGATCCCCTATTATCACAAGCTTGGGGTCAGATCAATGATCACAAGCTTGTGATCAATCGGATGCCAAAGATGTAGATCAGCCACTGCCAAATCAACAAGGTGAAGAAACAGGGGCGGCAGCACCACTCCTTCATGAGAAGCTGGAAGCAATAAATGCCGATATTTTCCAGACACAACCCTTTTTTTTATTTTAATACTATATAAAAGCCCATATTAGATCCCTGGTGTCTCCTCTGACTCCAGCCTTTGAAGATCATTGCCTGAGAAACTCCAATTTGAAGCTAAATTTTCTTAGTGCCGCCAGGATACTAAAGGTCTTACCATAGAAATGCTATTAATCAATGAACGCAGCATAAGTGAATTGAAGCTGAAGGAGGAGATATAGACTCCATCTCATCCACATGAGTGTGACTGTTAGAGGCACGGGACCCATAAACAGTGACTGCTTTTGTTGAAATTATTTTTCTAAAATTTAAATACGGGATAGCACATCCCCAGTGTAGTAGACCACACAGGGCGAGGTGACTGTCTCTGAAAAAGGCATCTTCTGACCCCCTATACCAGTGATGTCGAACCTTGGCACTCCAGCTGTTTTGGACCTACAAGTCCCATAAGGCATTGCAAGGCTCTGACAGCTGCAGACATAACTCCCAGAGGCAGATGCATGTTGGGATATGTAGTTTTGGCACAGCTGGAGTGCCAAGGTTCGCCACCACTGCGCTATACCCACATTATAGTGCTCACTTGCAGCACCTTTGAAGTCAGCAGTAAAATCAGCTGCATCGGTAACCCAGGCGAGCAGGGATGTCAGTTCCCCAGTCATGTGACACTGTTCAGGCACCATCACAGGGAAGCAGGTCACAAGCTCCCACATACCTGGAAGTGCCAAGTAATCTCACTGGCTGCAGAGGAGCAAGAAGCTGCAAGAGAGCACAGATAAAGTGGGTATAAGGGGGTCTGAGGATGCCCTTTACAGAGACACTGTCACCTGACATCTGTGACATCAAGAAATACACGGCTAGTATCTCTTCAACTGTGAATTGCAGTTTCCAGCAGCTGAAAGCAAGAAAGCTTTTTGAAAACAGACACATTCTAAACATATCACACTAAAGCCAATGTATCAGTCCTATATAGGACAACATACAAATATTTCTTAGACACCCCAGCAGTTGCACTCAAAAGTACATGCGGACAATGCATGTTGCAGCACAAAACCCCCAATTGAATCTCTTAACCATGTGTACCTGGTCTCCCATTCTCTCCCCACAAGATTAATGACTACATCGGAGTGCTGGAGGGCTTGTCTGGTAGATTCTTTGTCTCTCGAGTTCCATTCCTAAAAAAAGAAAATAGGTAATAGGATGCGATGTAAATCCCAGCCTGTTCATTCATAACTGGGGACACATAGCACTGTGTCCCCAGTTATTTACAAACACTGGAGTGATCAGACGATCGCTCCAGTGTTTGTCCTTCTCACACGGAGGACCGGTAAGTATCAATGATATTTACCGATCCTCCGCTCTGCCAGGCACAGAGCCGCTGTCATCCTGAAACTGACAGGATGACAGCGGCTCCAATCTCCTCCCTACTCGGCCATCCTGACAGCTGCGGGCACGGCTTCTCTCCCCCTCACCGCTCCGCCATCCTGACAGCGGGCAGTGCTCCCTCCTGCGACCCCCCTGGGGGGGGGATGGACGAGGGAGCACTGTCATCATGTCGGTGAGGAGGAGAGAAGCGGCCCCGAGGAGGTCCAGTAGTCCCTCCAGGAGTTGAGTGCCTGACTCAATTGCTTCATTTCCACTCGCCCCCACGCAATTTTCACTTACAAATTGCGAGGGGGCGAGTGGAAATTTTGAGCCCTGGGTTAGATGAATGCACCACATTTCAATCACGTATTACTCACATTGTTACAATAGGGTTGCACCGATACCGAGTATTTGGGCGAGTACTCATACTCGTACTCGTCCAAATGCTCTGATACTTCCGATAGCGGAACTTCACACTAACAGTTTACTTCTAGTCTCTTGAAGTGTACAGTCAGTAAACAAATGACTGGCCGAATTTATATTCTTCATGGAAAATTATCTAAGTGTATACTGCTTCACTTGTCTTACACAACATACAGACCAAATATTCTATATATACAAGAAGCAATGTTAGCTCCTTACCATAAATTGTAGTTGTCCGAGATCCCCCATGGGCCGCAGATACATCATATCATACTCGTCACAGCGATAGGGTATTACAACCTGGGAGCCGATGCGCCCTAGAATAAAAAAACAAAACAAATGTAGAAATAAAACCAGCAATTCAAAAAATAAATAATTGAATGACCTGTGCCTCTGGCAAATACCTAAAGGAAGCATTGATTGGATGAAATCATGTTGAGGCTCACCTAAAACTGATATTTCAGTAATGGGTGGACACTGGAGAAGCTGCTCATTAAACATCTGTGGAGTTCACAGCTCTCCTTATGACAATGGCCAAAAAAATATCTCAGAAAGGCAGTCTGAGGTCTTAAAGGAGTTGTAAAGTCCCAGCATATACCATCCTGTTATAACATCAGCATTGTAATAGGAATACATACTAGAGTTGTTCTTCATAATACAATCAAAGCTTACTTGGAAAAATCCTTTATGTAGTGAGTGCTGCCTTCTGTCTGCCCATCACATTCAACTTCCTGGAATCCCAGTGTGTTTTGCATCTCTTTCCCTGCTAGTTGATGTGATGCAATCTCGACTTCTCAAGATTACATATCCCATCATGCATTGCTTCCAGCAAACAATGATAATGTTACATTGTTCAGATGCCAGGCGTTGTGAGGGTGGCGACACAAGGAAGTGCATATTCACAGGGCTGAGTGAAATTGTATCAGGGCATTGAGGAAGTCCATCCTATGGGCATCTTCATTAAGTACGTTTACAACTTCTAGATGGATATGGTTATTAGGAGTGGGACAGAACTTATGGAAATTCAACATAGAAACACCTTTTTTTTTAGTTTTTGACCATAGAGATCCGTTATTAAAAAATGAGCAACAAGACTACACTTACAGGTCTTGCCTCTCCCCCAGAAAACCAAGACAGGCGGAGGAAACACATATAACTCCCAGAAACGACATACAGACTCCAGGCAGATCATGTCCTTCATGGGAATACAATCCGAGAGTCTAACCCCTCAGCCACCCTCCATAGACTAACACTGGATTCCTCTGCACTTACCAAGCCTGTTGACAACATATCGGCCCAGGAACCCTGTGGCTCCAAAGACTGTGGCCACCACACCGCTAACTGCAGAGCGCCCTGGTTTACCATGTGGAACGACCGCATGATGGACATTACGCTGCTGCAGGATAACCGGGACGGACGCTGCCAAGGATGAAATCTGGGGCCCTAAAAGAAAAAAACAAATGTGAGCCAATACTACATGCGTCTATGACCCGGGGGGGGTCTAGAGGGAAAGAGGTTTAATCCCTTAGTGACACAGTGTCAGAACATTTATGTTTGCTTAACCATAATTGTCATCTTCCTCATTCATTGAGTCATTGCACATATTATATACCATGTTTAAAAATGGGCTTTATTTGGATATGACATTTGCATATAGAAATTATAAATTATAAGTAAATACAACAAAAAAATGTCTACAGTTTTGGCAATAATAATGTGTACATAATCAGTGTAGCTAACAGAAAGTAATTCCCACTAAAATATTGTATTTGTCCTGATTTATATGATATTATATATCTGGGATTTCAGTTTATTTTGGGAGTTACAGGTCACAAAATACAAGGAGTGAAATACAATTTTAGTTTGGAACAATTTCAGAATGTGGTATGTTTGTCTCTCCTAAGGAGAACTATGGGGAAAAGCCTTAACCCCATAGTTCTCCTTTAACAGCCTTCTCGGCACTAGATTTTCTTATATACTTTTATTAAATGTATTTATTTTTTACATTGACTTTTTCAAACATTTTTACAAATTATTTTTTTTATTTTTCCAAACTAGGGGGGACTAAGGAGTTATTGTTTTATTTATAGGGGCTTTGATACTTAGTATCAATACAGTATTCTCCTCAGAGATACTTTGTATCAGTTTGTAACACACTGAGCTGACTCGCAGCTACAGAACACAGTGAGCTGCAATGCGGCTCGGTGGCTGTCACGGCTCTGTGATCACAGCGATCAGCTGTAGCTGTGATCATGGTGCTGTGACCACCTAATCTGATGTTGAGGGTCTGCCTAAGACCCCGAGGGACCCAGCAACAGCAGTAACTCAATGAGCGCTGGTCCCTTCACGGACCAGCGCTCATTGTACAGTATGACGGGATTATTCCATCACCGGTCGGTAATGAACTTAACAATTGTGATGGTATAATCCCGTCATCGGTCTGGAAGGGGTTAACCTCCAAATACTGAAAGACTTCTTCATAGTAAGCGCAGGAACAGACATCCTCAGGGTCCTGTCCAAGACAGCTCAGCTGACTGTTTACAAAGCCTAGATGTGTTTATTAAATACACAAAATATAATTGGATATTATTTTTTATAAATAACTGAACTCGGAGATAAACAAATATTGTCTAAATATGTAAAAATAAATAAATATAAATAATGAGCTTTGTGTATTTTTTCCAGATATGTGCAGTAATCCAGTGTGACACTTGGAGCTTCCTGTAATAAAGACTAGTCATTGCTGCTCTCTCTCCTTGTGCAGGGTAACTGGTCATGTTTCCGCCCCCTCCTGTAGTCTGCAGCCTGCCTGTAGTGGGTGGGGCCTGTTGGTCCCTCCCACAGCTCTGCTCTCTGCACAGACTATGTGAAGTACATTAATGGTGTCGCTGCCATTTTTACAAGCTAATAACTGGCTTTGCAGAGGCATGTGATGGCATTTAAGTACGGATGTGGGTGGGCTTTGTGAGAACCAAGTTCACACAAAACCTTGTGCAGGGAGACTGCTGGGTACCTCCCAGAGCTCTGCTCTCAAGTTAGTTTGCCCACGACTGAGTCAGGAAGCTGATCTATCACTGACAGTTTTGTGTGGGTTCGGGTGAACTCGGTTCTCGTTAAGGTTACACACATCCCAACTATTGAGGAATATATTTAGTGCTTGTGTCCGGAGATCATCTTTAATGCTCTTCTTTTGCAGGGTTATATCTCGGCCTTCTTTCTTGGTTCTAATGATAGGGTCTCTTTAACTACAGATGTAAACAACCTGCAGGGGGAGGAAGCCAGGACACATCCACAAATGCCAAGAGGAGCCCTAGAAACCAAATGACAGCCTGCCTACTGCAGGAAATATGGCATCCCCCACTTCCCTAATCAGGTTCATTGCACCGGGAGTGCCACCTCTACCCAAGATGTCAATAATAATGGGAGCAATTTCAGTAAGGTCACTGTCAGGGTCAGTGTGTAGAGATAAAGACACTCCAGCGGAAGGAGCTCCCAACACTGGCTATACAAGGCACGGATGGCATTTACTTTCTGCAGTAGAAGGGGAATGTCACTTCATACACAGCTGTTTATTATAATTCCTTATTTCCTCTAATGGACCTGCAGCCCCATTGTAAAAATCCACCGGCCTGACAGCTCCGGGTGACTTACGTGACATTGCCCGGCCGCCAGCCGCCCTGCAGAGGATAATCACCGCCATCTTGTCCGGCCTCCTACCGTCCTGAGCGAGCTACGGAAGCCGCAATGCTCACACCAGCTGGAATTACCAACGACCCACAGGCTCCATCTAGCGCCCATAAGTGGTAATACTGCTGGTGGATTACCAGCGACTCACCGGCTCCATCTATCGGTCATAGGTGGTAATTCTGCAGGAGGAATTACCAGCGAGTCCCAGGCTCCATCTAGCGCCCACAAGTGGTAATACTGCAGGTGGATTACCAGCGACTCACTGGCTTCATCTATCGGTCATAGCTGGTAATACTGCATCATTTATCTATCTATCTATCTATCTATCTATCTATCTATCTATCTATCTATCTAATCACTAAGTAGTGGCACCACAAGCATGTTGTACGTATTTGCATGCAATGGCACATGTTAACGCACCGCCAAAGTGTGAATGGGGATATAAAAAAGAGCTGAAGACAAAACCTTTTTTTCTTTTAGCTTTAGATAGAGTAAGGGAGGGTTATAACCTCTGTCATCTTATTATTATCATCTGTATCCCATTGGGGAGATTTTCTTTCACTTCTTGTCTAAACGGCCATGGCAGGAAGTGAGAGGGAAATCCCTGGTGGTCAGCAGGGTCACCAAAACTAGTGTCCCCATTGGAGAATTTCCCACCTATTCCTGTTCTGATGACAACTCAAAATTTGGGATTTTCTTTCACTTTCTGTGGTAACGGTCACCAGGACAAATAGAGGGGCTGATTCTCCCCAATGGGGACACATACAGCAATAAAAACCTGACAGGTGATCTAATCCCTCTCCACTCTCCAAAACTAAAATAAAAAAAATTGGCTTCAGTTGCACTGTAAAGCTTAACTCCAGGAATTAAAAAAAATACCCTTGCAGTACCCTACCCCATACCCACCAACCCCCGCAAGGGTTACATTCTCATTTTTGCCTAGGCACAGAGGAAGCAAGGAATTAGGTATTACATCTTATTCCTCTATTTTTAAATTGCGGCCATTTCCCGCGTGCGAGGGGGCGTGTCTGAGCGGCCGTCTAAAGACGCCCGCTCAGATCTAGAGAGCTCCGGGCCGGCCGTTTTTTTACTATGGCCGGCCCGGAGGTGGTTTAGGAAAAGCGAGCATTAAACACTTTACCATAAACTCGTTATTGCAGATCAGCAAAACAGTGTGTACACAGGGGATTCTCTTTTTCTGGTTAGATGAGAGTTCTGGTTAGTTGAATACCAGATAACAAAGAGTTTATTGTATATTGTAGCTTCCCAGACTTTAGATGAGGTGGCTGCATTTTCTTTTCTCCAGGCTAGGAACATTTTCAGCAAGTACAGAAAATAGCTGTTGGTCTTGCCAGAACTGCCGTGTCCTTGCCACTTCCTGGGAGCTGCATAAAAATGTATCTTTCTTTTGCAAACTACTAATCTTACCACTCGCTATGTAATGAAGATGAACAAAGACAGACATGTTTGAAGTTCAGTCTGTGTGAAAACTTGAACAGAACCTGAGCTCCTACAATTAACAAATTGCCATGGTTACTTCCTGCCATTCAGCTGTGGGCCGGGCATTCCCCACTCTGCAGCTGCATGTAAACAAAGGGGCGGGATGCTTGCGTTGCTGTCCTTTACCTTATATGGTCACATCAGTCTACTTGTATATGGGCGGAGCACAAGGGGGCCCCATAATCTTGTATTGCCTGGGGGCCCCTGCATCAGTCAGTGATGTCACTGCACTGCGCCACTTTGTTTACATCACCCTGCAGGAGGGGAAATCCTTGCCCAGAGCTTATTAGGCAGCAGGAGGGAGATTCTGTCCATATTCATGAAAGATATAATAAAATAATGATTCAAGTCTCCAAACATTTTTTTTTTTTAAAACACACACCTCTTCTCATACCGCATAAGACTAGTTTGATTATACGGACTGAGCTGTAAGGGGCCCATTCACAAAAAGCACGGTGTGTGTGGTGAAAATGAATACATTCCATCAGGCTGCTTTTGTTTGTGTGCTAATAAGGGGTTTACACTCCCTGCACACCTTACAATGTCCTTCAGCTCTACCTGATAGGATACTGATTAGTTGGGTAGTTCAGGTAGGTCCTCACAGCACATCGTTTTGGTAAATCTGAAGTATGGGTAGATTGTAACATGTATGGTGACCCCAACAGACCAACTGAAATGATTACGCAGGCAACAAAACACACAAGAAAAGAAATGACGATTTTATTTTTCTGAAGTCCTGTAAACATAACACGTCAGATTATTACACACGCAGAAGTCAGATGAGGTCTTTGATACCAATCAATCCTGCTAAAGCTATGAAACCCCGACATGAGATCTGTTATCCCCAGCGCTGGTCACTGCTGCAATGGATCGGCGGTTATAGTCAAGCGAATACGTTCATACAGTGAAGTGCATTTCTCTTATTTCATGTAAACAACAACAAAATCATCCCCTTCGTAACCACAATACAACTTTATTATTTAACCCAAATGTCAAGTTAAAGTGCAACTGAAGCCAAAAAATGTTTTCGTTTTGGATAAAGTGGAGAGGGGTTAGACCCCGTCAGGTTGTTATTGCTGTCTGTGTCCCCATTAGGGAGATTCACCCTCTATGTATCCTGGTGAATGTTATCAGTGAAAGTAAAGGAAAATCCCACATTTTGGGTTGTCATCAGAACAGGAATAGATGGGAAATCTTCCAATAGGGGGACTAGTTCTGGTGACCCTGCTGACCAGCAGGAAATGACTTCTCTCTCACTTCCTGCTGTGCCTACCAGAGAGGAAAGGAAGAGAAATCTCCCCCAATGGGACACAAATGGCAAACAAAAGCTGACAGGGGTTATAACTCTCCTTTACACTATCCAAAACTAAAACAAAAATGTTTTGGCTTTAGTTCTACATTAACTTTCTCATACTGATGCTGCTACACATGGTCTGGACATCTGAGTATCAAGAAGCTCTCATTAGGAAAGTGATAATGATCAGATTTCCACAGAGCTATATATTACCAATTCCCAATCAATAAAAGCGATAATATAATAAGAAGTAACCATGGCATCCATTTTTAAAGTAGCAGAGTTCTCTCTCGGAAACAGAGCACGCCTCACTGACCTCACTTGCGTTTATTGAACTACCTTGTTTCCCCGAAAGTAAGACCTGGCACTATTTTTAAACATTCCTGTAACATTAGATGCAATGCCACCATAGGTCCTTAGGCCGCTGGGGCACAGGAGAGAAGAGGTTGCAGGGACCAGTCAAGCAGGATAGAGGATCAGGTAAGTATATCTTCTTTGCAGGGGTAGCCCCACTGCAAGGGATAATTTGTTTTTTCTCTTGGAGTTCCTCTTTAACACAACCGGAAGGGTTGGGTATCTGCAGCGGCGGCAGAGTTTGAAGACATCGGTCGCAGGCAGGAACCTGCATATCGCAGTTGAACGAATCAAAGCCTTAGTTTGGAGTTGTATTATTAATGTATGTACTGTAAGTAACTTTCTCATTTTCTTAACCTACATATATGTCCATGTCCAGCGTTACTGTTAAAGTTAAAGAATCCTCCCTGTAGAAAGTTAGCATTTGGCACAGTAATCTTTGGCACAGTAAACGAAACATAGTGCTGCTCCTAAGGATCCATTCACACCAGCGGACGTGCATTTAGGTACACATAGCGCAGACCGCCGCTATGCACTGTGCAAGCTCAATGTAATGCATCACCATGCTTGCTTTTTTTTTTAGCTGTATTTAACTGACAGTTCATTTAACTGCGTTCCAACTTGGTGCGTTGTGTTATAGCACGTCACAATGTCCTACTTTCTTTTAGCACACACTATCACAGCAATAGAACATAAGGCAACTGCCCTGTCTATGCAATGGGACTGTGTTGGTCAATGCCGTCCAAGGCTGGTGTGAATGAGCCCTAAATGTCCCTGACCTCTATCCTATATGTAACCCCAATACTTAATGTAACATAAAAATCCTCAACCCCCTCATCATAAACAATCACGGCCCGTTCACACCTATGTGTCAGGCCCCGTTCACACTGAGCGGTTTATCATGCAATATCGCGCATTTTTTCCGCACGATATCGCTCTATGTAGCTTGTCCAATGCATGTCAATGGAGCTGTTCACATCTCACAGCTCAATTTCGCCTGTACCTCGTCGCTGTAGCATGACGCTTTTTGAGCGTATGGCACGCGATTCGGCTCCAATAGACTCTATAGTGTTGCGCAATATCGCGCATCACCGGCGATGTCGCGCTACAGAAGGGTCACTTTTTGCACTGCAAAATGGAAGGAAAGAATGATGTCACATCAAGATCGCTGTTGATTGGTTACAACCCAATGTAGCAGCGACGAAGTCCCGCCCAAAAAACGTGCGATAAAATGTGCAATGTCACCCAATATCGTGCAATATCCATGTCGCGCAGTGTGAATGGGGTTTAAGTGTTGTAGCGTGCATGGTATGGCACACATGTATGTGTGAATGGGCCCTTATAGTTCCCCTATAAAACACACTAAACTGATGCACATAGGAGGTGAACCAGACACATGACAACCAATGAGATTTCTACTTAAAATGCATTTTATGGTAGAACATTTTCCTCCACATGCCAGTGGTGAGCAGACAGCCCTCCCAGTATAGGGACATGAGACACTGAGCCTCCAGGGACTGGTCTAAGAGCAAGCTAGCTCTGAGGATGGGGCAAGTAACATTTCTCTATAATTGTGCCCTGCAAATTACAAACATGAACATAACTTCCTGCCTCAGTACTCTATCTTGGGAGGAGCTTTGCAAGTATCAAAATGCCTTGATGGGTGGATGTCATTCTGGAGGAATGGGTGTTCCTAGACAAGTGGCATTTGCATGCAGGCCACCCTAGGTAACGCTAACATGCGATACTGAACCTCCACGCTTAAAAGAACTGAAATCCAATAAATAAATGGGGCAGGCCAGGGACAGTAAAGCACTAGATGATGCTGGATGTCTTCCAGCCCAAAAATAAGGTGGGCTCTGCCTGACCTGCTGCAGCTTCTAATGCATATTGTAACAAGCTCATAGTGTTCAGTGAAATCAGAGTAAGCAATTTCAGTCTAGGAGAGGAGCCGGTATGACTGTATAAGACTGAAGGGAAGGCTGCAGTTCAGCTTCAACATAAAATAGCTAAAAGCTGAACTACAAGCAGCACAGAATCTGCAATGTTTCAGTAGTCAGTAACCCAATCCATTTTAATACACAAACATATCTATTAGAGAACTGCACACGGCCATTTTGCTCCACCTGTATCATCTCCGAATTAAATTCAGTGCAGTAACCAAAAGAAAGTTCTCTCCATCCGGCTGTTGAGGAACTATAGTTAGCAATTGCCCTTAAAAACGTTTTGCAGTCTAGAACGATATCCTGGTACTGGAGAGCTGCGGATTGCCCTCAATTAGTAGAGTAACAATGGCTGTCCACAAGGGCAGCCTGCACTGGAAGCATTATTGTATACAGCTATGTTCAAAGCAGAGAGAATGGAAGTCAGGGAGCAAACGGAAGCCACTGGAGGACTTTTTTGCAGGAAGCACTTGGTCAGGATGACCGTGCAATATTTCAGGAACTCTGGAAGTACAGGACTACTTAACGTCTGCTCATCTGGGCCGAAAGGGTCCTTTTTTTCTTTCTTTCAGCTATGAGGCCACAGTCACAGTGCATTACCTGAACACTTGTTAACATGCAGTATATGTGTGTTGCCATTTATCCTGAATAGCACAAAATGCACATGTACAATAAAAACAAACCCACCCGCAGTACGGCACAGTACTACACAGCTGATCTGTAAATTGTGGTGAGCCGAGGCCCATTTAAAGTGAATAGGCAGCCCTAAAACCCAACAGAACCCTCTCTATGTATTACTGTAATGCAAGATATAAAGTAAAGCCGGGGTGGACAAATGAATATGGAATTCAGAAACCCGTCTGTCCAATCCAGGAGCCAGCAGGAATTTGTTTGAGGATTTCTCTAGTTGTTGTCAATAGCACTGCAGTAAAGTATATTTCTCTTTTTAACTTTTTTTTGCTAAATGCCGTGTTACACGTTGTGCTGGTAGCACTAGGAGAGGCGGACTGTCACTAGCACACACAAGCAGCAGCCCAGCTCTCCGACACCCCCCACTAAACACTGCTCTAATCAACCAGAAATGTTTATTGGAGCAGAGGTCATTAGGGTCTGTCAGACTGCAAGAGAGCTTGTGTGCGAGAGCCGACTCTCTTAGATGCTGCCAGCACAGGGTGTTTTTTTTACCCTTCTTGCAGAACTTAGCTAATAGAAAAGTAAAACATCCCAAGTGCATTACAGTTATAAATTAGGAGGGTTCAGTTGGGCTGAAAAAAAATACTGAATATAAACTGAGGGTTCAGTTAAAGAAGAACTCCGGACAGAAATGTTATTAGCCCTTAGGCCTCATTCACACAGCATTAAGTCAGGCCGTACACGTCCGTGTGGCGTGCGCGCCCATATCGGGCCGTTCCCAGGAAGGACAGGTGCTGCGTGTAGCAGCCTGTTCTTCCCTATGAAAGGACGCGGCCAGATGCTGTCATACGTACACCCGAACTGCACGTCCGTGCTCGGACGCAGACAGGATGGATCCTGTCTACGTCCAAGAACGAACACCCCGACACGCACAGATGTGCAGTTAGAGTGTGCGTACGGCTTCGTCCTCCCATAGAGAAGAACAGGCTGCTACACGCAGCACCTGTCCCTCCCAGGAACGGCCCGATACGGGTGCACACACCGCACGGACATATACGGCCCGACATAACGGTGTGTAAATGAGGCCTTACAGTGGGGTTATCCCCGCACTGCAATGGTTAACTGCTCATTTTTGCCCACTGACCGTAACCTGTGCGGCCACAAAACACTGCCTCCAGACTCTCTTCCCCTCCACTGCAGCGATGGTATGTCCCTTGGCATACTAATGTCACAGTGTATTTGACATAACTTGAAGATTCCTAATCCGCTGCAGTGGAGGGGGGAGAGAGACTCCAGGGACTGGTCAAAGAGGCAGCCAGCTCGGAGGATCAGGTGAGTATAACTTTTTTTTTACCCTAGGCGAAAATGAGCAGATTACCCTTGCCGTGCAGGGGTAGCCCCACTGCAAGGGTTAAGAACACTTTTTCCTGGAGTTCTTCTTTATACATATTGGCGTGAATATGTCCGCAAATAGATTATGAGATGATGCTGAACAGAGGTGGCTTCCCCCTACAAACCTCCAGTTATCATCTATATTGTGGATGTACAGAAAGCAGCTTAGAGTTATTTTGAATGCAACAAGCCAGGAGCTGCATCAGTCTGAGGTGAAAAAAAAAAAAAAAGTCCAAGGACAAATACCCCGCAATGCTTGGCAGTGGACTGCAGCAGGAGGACATTTCCACATCATGGAAGAGAGAATGGAAAACGCTTTCCAAGCCAAGGTTACGTTCGGGCAGAAAGTCCATGTACACAAACTATGGTATTCATGGTAACCAGTGCAGAGTCATCAGGGACCATAGTTCAAGAACTGATAGAAAAGTCTTTCTTTTTTTTTTTTCTTGTATGCAATAACCATCTAAGCGGTGGAAGCAGCAATAACATTCAAGGGAATCTGTCACTTTTGAAACAACTTATTTATCAGTTTGTTGCAAAATTTCTAATACACTAAACCTGCAAAGAAAAAAAAATGTGCTAAATGTCCCTGATATGCCAACATATATTAAAAAAGAAACTGACCCTATAACCTCAGGACTAAGTGACATCATTTGTGTAAAGCCCACCCGCAAACACTTTGGGGGACATTTATGAATTTGGTTTTAAAGTAAGGCAATGCTAAAACACAAGACAGATTTATTATAAGGTTCCAGCTTGATTCCTGAATTCTCAGCTACTCTAAAGTGGCACTGTGATACAATGAAGCCTATTCCAGACCACTTGTTATGCATTGTGCATTTGTTTACAGTGAAAATCTGTCTCATCTACAGATATGAGGCCCGGTCCTGCACAATGCAGGCAGCGATTGCCGCACAGCCCCATTGATTTCAATGGGGTGACATCTGCGGAGCAATCGCAGAAAAAAGGTACACATACCTTTTTTTTTGCGATACAGGAGGGGCGGAATCACGGCGGGAAACTGTGTGATCTGCCCGACGCGACTGGGGTGCCATTGGCACCCATAGTGCGATCGGTTCACACCTTGGCGACTCCTAACAGCACGGCAATTTGCACAGAATCATGCAGTGAGGTGTCGCCTAGGTGTGCACCGGCCCTAAATTTGACTTAAATGACTGCCCAGGATTACAGAAAATTTGTTGCATAGACTTTCCTAAATAAGAGTCTAATTGTGTTGCTAATTTGCTTGATAAATGTCCCCCTTTATACTCACCTCTCCTTGTCCATCGCAGCCGCAACCAAAATACCTGAAGTCAGATCTCAGAGCGAGCAGTGAAGTCACCGCACTCTATTCTCAGTCCTAGTGAGTGGCCACTAGGCCCAAGCACTGCTGCATGCTCCTTCATACTGAGAAGCACAGAAGTCATCATAATATGCCAACTCTAACTTTTACTTAATTTCCCCACTCCTGGGAGCCGCTGCCAGAGCACCAGCAAAAAGACAGTACTTCTGAGTGGCGGACACCCAGCTACAGCCTTCTCTGCCTTCCACAATGCAGTGCTTGGTGCAAGACTGGCCAAATCCACAGTCCCAGTGCTGAACGTTATAGAAGGGGGGGATGACCTCCTTAGCCCTGTGTTACTTTTGACTTTCTGAAATCTCATTGTGCTACAATGGTCACGGATTCTCTGTTAAGAATGACCAGTTTTCATATAAAAGGGGTAGCTCTGAAAAATGTATTTTGGCAAATAAAGGATTTTAGAGAATGTCACAAATTTAGCCAAACAAACTGATGAATAAGATTTCAAAACTGGCAGTTCTTTTCTAGCTGCAAAAAATACATTCCATTAAAGCAACCCATATAAAAAAAAAATCTAAAGTCAAAAAGTGAACCATGCTGTAAAAGTAGGCCTATACTTGCCTCTATAATGGGCAGTGTGTTAAATCTTTGCTCTCAAACAGCTGTGGGTGGAGCTGCTATTTAACATTTCCGGGTGTGTCAGAGAGTGTGTCCCCCGCTGGGTGCTGTGGCTCCTTCCAGCCATTCCCTATGTCACTACAGAACGCCATACTGGCAGAATGACCAATGGGAAGAACCACAGTGCACAGCGGGAGGACTCGCTCTCTGACACACTCAGAATTATCAGCAGCTCTTCAAGGGAGAGAAGAATGAACACACTACCTGCCAGAAATTTAACTGGTTTGTTTTTTACAGATTTGCTCCATTTGAATTTTTTTGAACAGAGTCACTTGGTCACTTCAAGGTTGTAGCTACTCTATGGCACCATTTAGCTAAATTGGATAACTCCATATTTCCCAGACACCATCCAGTCTGGTTCTGATGCACTGATCCGTTCCCCGACCCCAGCTTGTAATCCAACTTGTACATCGGCTTTTAGAGTTCTGATACTGCACAGCGGTGCAGGGTGAAAGGTTTTCAGTACTTCAGAAAAGGGAACAGTGAAGTCCCACTTCCGGTCTCCAGTGAGTTTCCTGTAGTTCAGATCTCCTTTAAATAACACTAGATCTGACTTTTTCAGCTCTGCGTACAGATCTGGAGCGACTTCCTCCATGCTCCAAAACTCGTGCGGCAAAGTCCAGAAGAGATTCTCATGATAAACCCAGGAACCTTTCTTCAGGTTCTCCTTCCACGTCTGACCACACTTTGACATCCACCTGTGATTGGCCGCTAGTAACTGTTGGACTGTCCAATCAAAGTCGTGCTTTGTGGTGTCTGAAACAAACCAAGGAAAGCACTTGCCGTGAAAATGAACTTCAGTGGCCAAGTTCAAAAACAAGATGGCATCAGCTAATATGAAATCTGTTACCAGCTCGAAACCGGCATTATCCAGAACAATGTCGACTCTGGTTTTCAAAGCTTTCTCTGAGCCGACATCCTGGCTCTTCACTAGGGTGTTCCAGAGGGACTCCATATTATCCACCAATATAAATGGTTTGAGGGAGTCCAGAGAAGCAAGAAGACTGGATTTCTGAGAGTTGTCCTGACCCCCCGAAATAGAAAGGTCACACTTGTTTCCCCATAAAGAGACCTGGTAATGAAACAAACAGTCATTGTACAAACTCAGCAACAATACATTTTAAACCAGAACTCCAATTTTACTTTTAAAAAATATTGACCAGAAGTTCGAAAAATAAAGGTACTCTTTTGGGTTGCATGATGGAAACCGTAATTTAACCCACGTCCTGCGAGTCCAGGCTGTCATGGACTCAGTCCCTGGGTCTGGACTCAAATGGAGAATTCTGCAGAAAAGAACGCATCATTACACAAGCGCCATTCTCTGCAGCATTCAGGAGCACCCAAAGCTGATGTGGGAACACAAGAGGACCTGTGACATCATGTGAGAGAGAAGACAGGTGGATTTAAAAGTATGCATGCAGGAAACTTTGTAAAAATACATGCAGCAAGGGGGGTGGGGGGGTTTGGGGGAGGGATTTGAAAAGTGTCGATTTGCTCTAAATATTCCTCTGTTTGAACATATTAAATTAAATCATATTCACAGGATCTCAGTTATATGCCCCACATATCTGTCCTATCTTAGTCTTGCATGTATCTTCTATAGGTGCCATTCAGCCTCTCCCTTAAAATTACGGTAATGGTACTCAACCATCCGGTTACCGCAGCTTGACTAAGTGATCCAGAACTAAAGAGTAATTTGAACTCTCTTTATAGTAACTTAACTGGAGCTCTGTGCATATGCAGATCGCTACTACATTTTGGGGTTCAGAAGTTGTCTTCCTTACTTTTCCACAATTTGGATTGTAGATAGTAAGATATAAGAGAAAGTCACACAGGTTAAAAATAGACAAGTTTATCTTACGATTGGTTCACTTTAAACTACTGACCCAGCATCACCCACCTGCAGCAGCTTATAGAACTCCTCTTGGCGCTGTTCTTTGCTCAGGCTGGCAATGGTCTTTTTAAGCTCCTGTAGATGAGTGCAGAGGGCGATAATAGCTTGCTGGGACTGAAAGAAGCTTTCATTCTTTGCTTCCCCGAAGGCATCAAACTTGGAGATCGGGGGGCTGTTTGAACAAAAGATAAAGAACAGGGTGTAGGAACTTCTAATGAATTATGTGAAAGTAGAAATGTTGTTTCACAAATTGTAAGCTTTGTGTAACCAAAAAAAAGGACAGGACACAGGAGACTTTACTTCCTTAGACCAAGGCTCTAGAACAGGGGTGGGCAACTCCAGCGCTCCAGCTGTTGTGGAACTACAGGTTCCATAAGGCACTGCAAGACTGAGTTACCGGCATGACTCCCACAGGCAGAGGCATGTTGGGATTCATAGTTAAAGCACAGCTGGAGGGCCAAAGTTGCCTACCCCCGCTCTAGAAGCAGGCAACAAGTCCACTGCAGTACACACGATTTACCATTGTTAGCCCTTCAAAAATATGATATCACTAGTTCCCCTCAACTGCTTAACATACTTTGGCCATAAAGTGGCTCGGTTATGAAAACAAGACTAATTCATTAAACAGGTTTTGCATTCCCACACGTCTGTGGGTGTGCAAAACCTGCTTGAAGCAGGTGAAATGCAGATCAGAATGATGTCAGCTGCAGGCCACATGCTACTGTCAATGACTTCTGAATGATCTCAGAAGCGTCTTAAAAGTGTATCTAAACTCAAAAACAAAAATGTAATATATTGCAGCTTACTAGTCCTTAAAGAGCAACTTCACCCTTATCCTAAAGATGACAACAAAGCACCTTTACAGATGTTTAGTAATGGTAACCTACAAGCAGATGCTAATAGATAATTGCCGGCTTCGTATTCTTTGCATATCTTATTTTTCTTTTCCTCCCCATTCTTCTCACGGTGGCCATTTTTACTAAGGGCAGATTAATACATCTTCCTTTACTTCCTGGTACTGTGGGTCTGCCTCCTGGAACACGTGCACATCATCTGAGGGGAAAATGCCTTTCCGCCTGATGTGTAAACTGCAAAATCTCATGACATACGAGATTTACCAGGAAGGCACTGGTCCTTCCCAGGATGCATCTGTGAGGCCAGCATTACATTACCAGTGCCTCATCCAACCAGGAAGTGGGAAAACAATAACAGAAAGTAAAATCAAACAGTCTTTGTTTAAGTTATGAATGTAAGATGATTTCATATCAGCATATAGAGCTCCAGGACGATGTGATCTGTGGCAAAAGAAGGTAAATGCCCGCTTTAAGTGTGGTGACTGCATTCATTTTCTTTTATTTAGGCTTTTTTTCCCCTTTATTTTAACTTGGTGCTCCATCCAGTAACACACTTCCTGTCTTGGGGTGGCTCCACTCTATGGAGGAGCAATGGAGCAACTCTTGGTTCAGTTTCATGGTCAACCTTTGGAGAGGGTTGTCTTAAAGGAGAACTATGAGATGAGTGATTTCCACTCACGTCATAGTTCTAGCGACCTGTGACAATGAGACTGTCACAGTTGGCTCAGTAGATCGGGAGGTGAACGAACACATACCAGGTTCACTCACCTCTCGATCCTGTCACGGCTCTCTGCCGTGACAGGGGGAGGGGCTGGATTCCCCTCTCCCCGCTCCGCCAGCGCTGACTGGCAGAACGGACGGGGGAGGGGGCGGGTACAGCTGGCTCTGCCTCTAGATAGGCAGAGCCAGCTGTCACTCACGCAGCTGTGCGAATCCCGTCATCTACGTCGGGATCCGCTCCGGCGTCTCAGTATACCGCGAGCTGTAGCTCGCGGTATACTGAGCTTAGGGTAACGGGAGGACGCTAGTTTGTGTCCTCCCGTTACCCTAAGGAGAACTATGGGGGAAAACACTGACCCCATAGTTCTCCTTTAAATGCACTAGCAGATTTAGATGGACTTTACATAAGTGACTAACATTTTAAAGCCGGACTCCACCTAACACTTTTTAAGCAGTTATAACAATAAATGTGTTTCTTATTATAATAAAGTTTTTACATCAATTAATAAAAACTGCCGATTGTAAGCAGCCCTGCCAGTGTTAAACTGTTTGTCTCAACCTTTCATCTGCCACATTTGCTGGACAACTCGGTCTGTCAGAGGAAGTTGAAAAATAACAGAATTACTGGCCGGATCACCAGGTGAAAAATAAAGGAAAAAGTGCTTAAAAAATGAAAAACTTTATTCAGCCACAACATTTAAGGATCTGCAAGCTGCAATATTACATTTTTAGTTTTGGGTGAAGATACACTTTAAACTGATGGCATTGACAAGTGCCAAACCCGCTGACACAGCTTTTACTACAATACTCACTTTCAATCCAATGCTGTCATCCTCTTCCACGTTGAATGACAGCCAATATTATTTAATCTGAACGAGGATTTTCTCTTCCAAAAACATATCTTGGAATGGGTCTTACTTTTCTGCTCTCAATGTACACGCATAGACAGAGATGTGTGTAGAAATATTTACACACCTGAATAAAATCCCCTCCTGGATCCTGCGGTAGAGATAACACTCCACATACAGCCACGGGGATCGGAACCAGCTCGGATCTTCACCGTTGCCAAGCAGCGTCTTTTGGTAGTCCAGGTACTGATTCCAGATGTCAGTGTCTGGCCTGTTATCAGTCAGTGGAAGGATGGACTTATCCGTCTGCATCTCATTACGCAGTTTTGAGAAGAAAGATATTGCCTTCTTTTCTGCCTCGATTCCTTCCTAAAACAAATTGCAAGTATACGTCTCAGCAAGAAAACCAAAAACAAATGCAGTACATCTACCGATCCTACCAAAAGTGCACCTTACTTCTTGTAAACAGCCGACAATGCTACCTGCTACCCAGCTGAACTTGGATAAAGAACTGTGTTGTCAGCCCTGCCCAGTTCTCTCCTCAACTAGAGAAAATCTCTCCCTTATTTTTCATAGATAAACATAAGGGGAGGTGTTCTGTAGTTCAGAAATTGGTGCCAGTGCTGCCAGATTTCATTATCAATTGTAAACTAGATTTGAACACTGTTCTAATAAAGGGTAAAGACAGACTCATTGTGTGGAATTTATCAAAACTGGAGCAGACGCAATACAGAGCAGTTGTCCACAGCAACCAATCAGTTTCTCTTTTTCATTTTCAAAAGTTTAACTGAACAAACTGAAGGAGCCAATTGGTTACTATAGGCAACTGCTCCAGATTCTGTCTGCTCCTGTTTTGATAACTTCCCCCCATTGTATTTTAATTAGAGGAAGTTTGGTCTGTCCCTCTACTGCGTGGAGTAGCTGGGAATCTGCGCAAAGGCCTTCACCAGAGAAATATCTAAAAGATAAGAAATATATTTTTAAAAGTTATTTGTATGTATGCTGTGTGGATGGGAACACATAACATATAGTGGGGTTTACTCAAATCTGACTGATTTATTTCCACACAACCTATTTTAGGATATTCCGAAGCAAAACATACTAACATAACAGTTAGAAACCATAGCATTAGACTATAAAAAAACAAAAGGTGTGAGTCTTCAATTGGCCTTTCAACATTAAAGATTTCTGTGACATGTGACATTATAACGGTTTGTTGCCATCATGAACATGCCACTTACATCAGTGTTTAAAACCGATCACCTACCTGCCCATATTCTTCAAAGAATTTATTTTTATGCCGGTGTATGGTGTCAATCACTTTTGTTAGAATTTGTGGCAATCTGTCCTTAACAGTGAAATATGCGAATGACCTGTAAGAAAGAGTAACAAACAGAAGACTTGATTGACTAGATCAAAAACATTCTTCATACACTGGGGGACATTTATCAAGCAAAATTTGTGACAAAATTAAATGAAAAGGAGGCTACCAGTCTGTGGAACAGTTTTTATGTACGTTTTCACTCCCCCCACCCACATGCAAATTCAATTTTTAAATAAAACCTTTCCATTTTCATTACATATCTTCTTTTAGACCCAGTGATGTAATTCCTGGGCCTCTGCGCTTCAGCAGGCTGAATAAACCCTTTCATTCATTGGATATCAGTTCTTTAAATCATGGAGGCTCATCATCACATGTGAACGTTACCCAGCACAGTCTTCTTGCAAATACAGTCTGCCTAAAGCTGGCCATACACCTATAGATTATCTGTGGTCAGATGGAAAAAGTGCAACAGATTCCTCCACCTACGCTAAACTGTGTGGATGGTGGAATCACCCGCTAGGCCAAGCTTCAGTGTCTTGCTGGTTGGCCCCGCTGGCTGTCAAAATACCTGAACAATCTGATTGGATGCAGGCATTGTTCAGGTGTTTTGGGAGCCAGCGGGGCCGACTAGCAAGATACTGAAGCTTGGCCCAGTGGGAGATTCCTCCATCCACACAGTTTAGCATAGATGGAGGAATCTGTTGCACTTTTTTCATCTGACCATAGAAAGTCTGCAGAAAATCTATAGATGTATGGCTAGCTTTAGGCAGACTGTATTTGCAAGAAGACTGTCCTGGGTAACGTTCACATGTGATGATGAGCCTCCATGATTGAAAGAACTGAAATCCAATGAATGAAAGGGGCGGGCCAGGGACAGTTCGGCTGGGGAGAAAACAACTCTTTATACATAGGCCCCTATGTATGCAATGCAGATAATTAAATACTCACCCTTCATAATTGGCAGACAGTGAACAAGGAGTCTCCATTGTGTTGATCAACTGGATCTGCAAGAAACAATATGAACATAATAAGGCCCTTGTTTATTTACAGAATGCGGGGTTCATATGCCCATGGACACTTCATGAACTATGCAGATTCCCCCCTGGTGAAGAATCCATCACCTGTGTTGGATTTTCCTGCCTGATCACTACTGTTCTCTATGCCAGCTTTTCTCAATTTTTTTCAATCATGGCACCCTTTAAAAGAAGGCAAAATCTTGTGGCACATATCCAAGATAGAGGTCAGGTATGGATAAAAAAAAACCCGTCTAACCGCTAAGGTTAAAAACAGAGGTTCTAGATACAAGTCTTCTGCAGAATACGTGGAAGCCGCACTGCCTCGTCAAGGCCCCTCTGTTTAGTGCGGTCCTAACTCTAACCTATGAGAGTCTCCATCTTGGAGCACATGTAGCAAAAGATAAAATTGGATGCAGGTTCGCCAGGAGGCAGCCCAACCTCCTTAAAGGCACAGTGACCCCTTCACATCAGAGCACACACTTTTCACATCAGATTCCCCCCTCTCACATTAGAAGACCCCTTCACATTGCAATCCCCCTTCTCTCTTCATAGTCCCCTTCACACGTCCCCCCTTATTATCAGAGTCCTCACTCCCCCTTCACATCAGGAGTCATAGTTGCAGCAGCATGGCAGAGGACGGCGGTGGAGCAGGCTTGGACAAAGGTAAACCTCCATCCTTTTCTGAATGGATGCCACCCTATCTGGGTTAGCATTATTGATTTCCACAGTGCTGGCAGCCAGCTGGTCTGCACTGTGATCCAATGGGTTTAATATTTCTGCAGCACAGACCTGGAAGATGTATGCAGACTGAACTTACATGCATGCTTGTTCCAGGTCAATGAGTGTATTGAAGCTGTTAAATCAGCATGACAGCCAGTCAATAAGTATTTTCATACAGGAGGTCCACAATGACAACAATATATTTCTCGCATTGCAGGGAATAACACATATAACAACACTCAGATCAAGCCAAAAACAAGCAAGAGCAAAGAAACCAATGGTGGGCGAAACATGGAGGCTGCCATTGCCTATCAAATCATATAAAAAGGCTCATTGCCCCGGCTGTCATGCTGATCCTCTTGCTTCAATTTACTGACCTGGAAGAAGCATGCGGATAAGGACTTCTAAATTGTTCAGGCCCAGTGACTCAGAGAGTACTGATGCTGGTAGGTCAGCATACCAGCCAGAGAGAGAGCATTTTCTAAAAGGTGAGCCCCCATATTTCTTTCCTTACAGTTTTACTAAAAGAGAAGAGCCCAGCCATGGAGGAAGTAAAGAGAACACTCACACAATCTTACGCTGACACCTGACTTCTCCCACTTGCTCAACAGCAGACTTAATACTTACAGCAGCAGAAGCTTCTCTGACACCATCTCACAGTGCTCATCCGCACATTCGCTTCTCCCCAAAACCCACATTTTCACAAATATGTCTTCTACAGCCCTCAATTACCTAAATTTAGTATCAGTTTTATTCCAATTTTTATTGTAACTGCCAGTTCTGTCATCGACTCCACAACTTGAGGTGAGAGGTAATGAATCTGCTACTGCGAATCGACAAATTGGAGCCTTGGTGTCTATCTGCACGCGTTGGGCGAATGACAGTGAAGCTTGGATTCTCTCGTGGGCGTGGCTCGCCTGCGTTATGCTGGAGAAGAGTTTGACGGGGGCGTGGCTGTGTGAGATAGAGACTGGGCGGGGCTTCCCTCACGCAGGTAAGGCTGTGCAGTGTGAAGGTCGCAGGTTCGAGTCTGTGCAGTGCTGGGGTTAATTCACAGACAATCGTCATAAGGCTTAGATTCTGTAAATGTCATCTATACTATGAAACTGCACGGGCTTTCTAACAGAACACTGCAAGGTCAATTGTCAAATAACAGGCATTCCAACAATAGACTGTCATTTAATGGAAGCTCAGACATATACTGGTAGTGGGCTGGACTAGTTAGTTACTGTAATAATTCATCCTAGGGGCTGGTGACAACCTTGTGTCAAAAAACATGGAGGATCTAATAGCTCAGCAACAGGGGCGGGTCTTTAAAGTGTAGAAACATATTTATGTAGTACATCTCTGTAATACATGCACCTTTCCCAATGTTTATACCTTTCTAGAGCCTGCAAGTACAGAAAAATATCTGTTGCTCTACCAGCAATGCACTCACATCTTGTTCTGGGCTGACAACACACAGAATTCTTGTGGATTGAATGGTGTCAGCCCTGCCCATTTGTCATTTGCTAAACTATTGAAACCCATTCGTATGACAGGATACCTTAAACAAGTTTACTGTCCTTCAGACCCTATGTTAGGCATACTGTAGCCCACGGGAGTAGAAAATGCCCTGATATTAATGGGAATAACAATGCCCCAGATTTGGTGGTTAGTGGGAGTAAAAAATGACCCAAGTTTGGTGAGCAGTGGGAGTAAACAATTGCCCCATCTGTGGTGTCAGTTGAGAGAACAGTGCCGATCATTGGAAGGAATAGTCAATGGGAGGAATAGTGCTTTATTGGTGTCAATTGGGGGGGAATAGTGCTCCATTGGTGTCAGTGGGAGGAACAGCGCCTCATCGTTGGTGTCAATGCCAGGAACAGTGCTAGATCGTTGGTGTCAATGCCAGGAACAGTGCCACATCGTTGGTGTCAAAGGGAGGAATAGTGCCCTACCGTTGGTGTCAATGGGAGGAATAGTGCCACATCTTTGGTGTCAAAGGGAGGAATGGTGCCCCATCATTGGTGTCAATGGGAGGAATAGTGCCCCATCATTGGTGTCAATGGGAGGAATAGTGCCCTATCCTTGGTATCAATGGGAGGAATAGTGCCCTATCGTAGGTGTCAATGGGAGGAATAGTGCCCTATCCTTGGTGTAAATGGGAGGAATAGTGCCCTATCGTTGGTGTCAATGGGAGGAATAGTTCCCCATCTTTGGTGTCAATGGGAGGAGTAGTGCCCCTTTGTTGGCATCAGTAGGAGGAATAGTGCCCCATCATTAGTGTCAATGGGAGGAATAGTGTCCCATCATTGGTGTCAATTTGTTTGCACTTATCAAAAAAATATAAATAAATACTTTCAATTGTATACTTAACTTACCAAAAGGGAGCAAATAATAGAAGTTCATTGTTAGGGTTTACATCCACCTTAAAGGACACATGCATTATATGGTACCCGACATTCTAAGTATTCCCAAAGCCTCATGACACTGATGCTGCTAAATTAGCAGGAAACTAGCTATGTGCAACGTTTCATACATATCTGTTTGCCAGAGAGTCAGTGTGCAATAAAAATGTGGATCATAAGTCCAGACACTTTAAAGTGAACTGTCATAAGAAGAATACTGGGCTACCATTTCTGACCACTTTCTGAAAGTAACAAAGCTCATCTCTAATGTCATTGAAAGAGTTCCTTTTTAAGTAATTCTATAAGTAAATTAGAAGCCCCCTTTGATAACCATAATCTGCTATATCACAACCTTGACATTGTATTTTCATTTTGTTTTCAGCTCTAGATCATGTGCGGACTACTGCAGAAGACCTCCTTTCTTTTTACCCAAGCATGCAGGACAAGTCGCCTAAATAAACAGTTCTATACATTTGACCTAAAACACAGACTTCTTACTTCCAGTGAAAGGACCAAGATTTCTTCTGCCATCAGTGTAAGTCATTTCAGCAACAGAGTCACAGACATTTCTAAATTAAGATGGAACTGTGCCTTGGGATCTCAGAGCTGGCATAAACATTTTGCAGCAGTGAGTGGACTATCGTTAAATAGATTATTTTCCGTTGGGCAGCCATCTCCTTCCACCAAGAGACCTCTAAAATCTTCCAGGACCAAACAACCATCCAGATCTAACCTGCCACTACTGTCGGAGACTGAGGTAAAGCATATTTGTTAGAACGCTCTCGTCATTGCGTGTCCCCTTTAGCGTGCAGAATGCCCTTCATGTAAATGATATCTGAATATAAAGCATGTTCTGGGCATCACATTGGTCAAACCGCACTCTCTGTGAAAGCGTATATCTAAACCCAGGAACAAAGATGTAATATAGTGCAGCTTATGAGTCCTTACATGCGGTGGGTGCATTCGTTTTCACTTTCCAAGCTAAGAACATTTTCAGCAAGTACAGAAAATGCCCATTGATCTTGTCAGATATGTAGTGTCCTAGTCGCTTCCCGTGAGCTTCAGAGAAAGCAAACAGGACCTTATCTTTTGTGTAAAATGCTAGTCCAGCAGGTGTGACAACCATTGCTCTCTACATAGATACAGGGGAGAGAAATAAACATAGACATGAAGGGACAGGAATTGTTTTATTACGAAAAAAAAGCCTAACAAAGGCAAGGAATGCAGTAACCACAGCTAGGGATTTAAAGTAAGCTGCATTACATTTTTGTTTTTGGGTTTAGATACGCTTTCAGCAATTTTGTATGCTAACATGAGTGTTATTCACTTGTATTCTCTCCCTGTTAGAGCAATGTCAGCTGAGAAGCTGTCGGCTGTAAAGCTTCCATGGAAGTTGACCTGGTTCTTGTCTGAGATCAGAGACTAAAAAGTGACACACTCTCGAGGATGCTGGATGAGAGCTAAACTGTTGATTAGCAAAGGCTTTAGCTTTCTTTCATATAATCCATACAGAAAGTTTGTTATATGACAGTTTTTAGTGTCTGCTGTCATCACTGAGCTCCAGAGGGAGATGGGACTGCCTCTATGGGGCCTTACATACCTGAAATTCTGATTTCATCTGGTTTGGCAGGGAGAGAATACAAATAAATAATCAATATTAATAGGCAACACTAGTCGCCAAAAGTGGAGAATTAGATTAATACATGCTACATTTTAACTGCTTCTCTTTAAAGCTACCCTGTCCCTGTACAAAACAAAAAAAAGAGAATTTAGTCCAGTCATACCTGTAAGGAATAGAGGACATACTAGTCTTTCCTGTGAATGATCTCCACTCACATGCTGATAAATCTTCTGCTGAAGTCTGCACTGAAACTGACACTTCTGATAGCGCCAATCTCTGTGGTCTGCCACAGCTCCCGTTGCTTTTATCCCCTGACCTTTATCCAGTAGAGGGCACAGTAGCAATGCAGTGGCCAGGGGGAGAAACCAGTTATGGTTGTTGGGGACCACGGAGATCAGCACCCCCAGAAGTGTGGGTTTCAATGCTTATTTCAGCTAAAGAGTTCTCAGGACTGGAGAGACGTTTGGTAGCTTGAGCAGCAAAATGGTGAGTACGTCCTGTCTTCTTTTACAAGTATGGCTGGGATTTAATTTTTTGGGTGTAATGTAGATAGGGGCCAATGTATTCTAAAATGCACACACCAAAAGCTGCTTTAGGGGGGTTCTGGAGGTAATTGTGCAAAGTGTGTTGAGTATTGATGCATGAGTCTTTTTTTGTTTCTATAATTTTCCGTTCTATGCAGGATGTGATGCAGTGTGTGGCCTTTGCCACAGCGGATGAGTTTCATTTGGGTACCCTGTGCCATGACCTCGTATCAAATGGGTACTTTGAACTGCCAAGCTTACCTCGAGGTATTGTGCTATCCTTATAATTATTTATTTATAATGAATAATCTAATTATAATTACTTATACTAGACCCATGTCTGTATGTTCTAGTGTCGTTAGTGGGTATTGTTCTTCAGTATGACTGCTAAATGTGTTATTATAGACGAGAGCAGTTTTTTCAGGGAATGGCTTAATATAACCTAATCTAAGCCTTGGAAACTGGAGGCAGTGTGTCGTCTAGTTCTATAGTATTCCGAGCCAGAGGTTATGTAGCAGAGACCATGCAGTCCTACCCAAAAACACAGCAAAGAGCCTGCTAAATCAATACATCTTTTTGTAGTAGAATAGTAGGACACAGAAGCAGTTAATGACGTAGAATTTCTGAGGTTCATACCGTAGGTGATGTTCAGAGTTTTGTGTTTTCCTGCAAGATGCATCCTTTCACATACATTAATTAATGTTTGCCTGTTTACCCTTTAAAGATGCATCCAACGTATTGCTGGTGGGAGTGACAAACACTTCTAAAGAGCATGATTCCGGAGTGATATATTTCTTCAGGTAATTTCTTCATTAAACTAAACCTGTCACAAGGCTGCATTTGTGATTTTGTTTTTCCTGTACACATCTACACATCTGTTCTTGTGCTGTTCCAAAATTCCCATAATGCCCACCTAATGTTGAAATCCAGGTAGATATTTAATACAACATTTTACAGTCTGTACCGTGCAGTGTGGAGGGCAACATATCTACACACCATAAGCAGCAGAAAAAATACAGCATAAGCATTGGTGCCAACGAGCACCATTACAGCAACACAGATGAGCCACGCCATAGAGCCGCAGGCCTCTAACATGTTTCACTACACAGGCTTAACCATAGAGGTAATTTTCTGAATGGGAATCAGAGTGGTGAAATATTTTTTTCACTTGAACTGTTTAAATATGTACACAGCAGGACTGCAAACAAGAAGGGCATCAGGGATGGCATCAGGGACCCCATCATATGCATCCTGCTTTCCAAGATTGGCTTTCTAGAATAACTTGAGATGGGGGTGTCATTTAGCTAACTGTATGCAGGGGCTGCTTCTTTCAACAGTTACTGAACTGTTTCTTTAGAGATTACATGAGTGGAGCGCAGTACTAAAAATCATAATTTACAGATTTGAACACTTTAAATTAAACTGGTACTTAAAACAGATCCCCTTTTCAAACTCCCCAGTCCAGTCTTGTTGCTTTCTACATTGCACAGTGTAGACTGCAAACAGACTGAATGTAAGCAATGCAGTTTTCAGAGGCCTGGGCATGTGCTGACAGTTGCCAAAGTACAAGGAGGTATTGCTATCTCTGCCTGAAATAATAACGCGCTCGCAATTCTCTGAATATGGAGATCATAGCTGAGGGTATTTCTCATACTTTAAATTTGTGCTTGTTGCAGGGAAGGAGCAGTTGTTTTCTGGAATGTTGACGAAAAAAACGTGAGTCCATACATTTTATTATAGCTGTACAGCCATGGGTATCTTTATACATACACCAATTACACATTATGACACACTATGGAAAGCCGGCGGAGGCAGTGTAATGCTTTGGGCATTGTTCTGCTGGGAAACCTTGGGTCCTGCCATTCATGTGGATATTACTTTGACACGTACCTCCGACCTAAACGTTGTTGACCAAGTACACCCCTTGAGGAAACAGTATTCCCTGAAAGCAGTAGTCTCCTTCAGCAGGATAATGCACCCTGCCACACTGCAAAAATGTTTCAAGAATTGTTTGAAGAACAGAACAACGAGTTTGGAATGTTGACTTGGCCTTTAAATTCTCCAGATCTCAATCCAATCGAGCATCTGTGGGATGTGCTGGAAAAAAATCTATGGAGGCCCCACCTCACAACTTACAGGACCTAAAGGATCTGCTACTGATGGCTTGGTGCCAGATACCACAGCACACCTTCGGAGGTCTAGTGGAGTCCATACCTCGACGGGTCAGGGCTGTTTTGGTGGCAAAAGAGGGACCTACTTAGGTGGTCATAATGTTATGGCTGATCGGTGTACATGTAAATGTTGCTGGTAGCTCTTTTATGTATTGTAGCTTTCTTAGTTTACAAATAGTAGTGCTGTTGCAATAACATTAATAGGATATTACAAAACTAATGTGGATAATGAGATCTTTTTTTCTGAGGAAAACATATAATTGTGATTGTTTTATTAAGATGAAAGACGTTATGAAAATTCTGGAGCGTCATGAAATTCAGCCTTATGAAGTTGCCCTGGTACACTGGGAAAATGAGGAGATAAACTACAGCTTCCGAGAGTATGTTTTACTTTTATTACTCCTATCTGCTAGCGGAAATGCTACTGCAATTTCACATTAAGGAGCCTTCTTTTATAAATGGTTGAAATTGATATTTTTGACAGTCTTGCCTAAACTGTCTTCTTTGTTTCGTAGTGCTTACCAAAGTTGGGCTTGGTGTATACATTAAAGAGGAACTTTACCCATATCTTCAAATTAATAACAAAGACACCGTTAGAAATGTTTACCCAGATAGCAAGCAATTGAGCTGCAAGTTTGAAAATGACTTGCTAAAGTATTGCAGACTTGCCAAGCTTCACAATTTTGTTGCACAGTTACAGCAAGTCTGCATTGCAAGTCTCCAGACCAACGCGCTTTGCAAAAGTGCTGTACACTTGCAGAGCTCTTGCTAAGACCTGCAGGACTCTTGCTGTAGAGTTGCCAAGCAAATTTGCTACAAACTCAAAAAGTGTCAACTAGAACTTGTGCTGCAAGTGTTCTGCAAGTCTACAACTTGCCAGGAATGTGTGCAGCAAGTTAACAAGAATTACAGTTTAACCCTGCCACAAGTTTGTGGCAAGTTATCCTTGCTATCTGGGTAGTAATGGCAATCTACAAACACATACTTCTAGATAATTGCCGGCTTGGTATTCTTTGCATACCGTATTTTTCTTTTCTTCCCCATTCTTCTCACATTGGCCATTTTATTAAGAGCAGATGAATCCATCTAACCTTTTACTTCCTAGATGATGTGCATGGTCACATGTCCTTGTCACATGTGACAAGGACATGTGACCATGCACATCATCTCAGGGAAATCTCATTAGATTACAGATGAGATTTCCAAGCAATGCTCTGCTGATGTAATCTTCCCAGAATGCAATGCTTGGGCACGATTACATCATTTGTGCCAAAGTGGACAAGGAAGTGGAAAAGAGAAATTGTAGGTACAATAAAAGTATGTTTGTTTAGCTAATGAATGTAAGATGATTTCATATCAACATGCAGAGCTGTATGCTGATGTGATTTTTAGTCAAAGTGGGTAAAGTTCTACTTTAAAACAAACTAGGTCTAGGAATGGGGGAGCAGCCGACTGATGAGCTCATCTCTCTGTTTGCCTGCTCTATCCTCCTGTCAGCATGTCCCTTGTCAGCACACAAGCACTGCAGCATATCTAACTGACTGACTTTTTTTTCTCTGACCTCTAATGTACTGTGATTGCGGGAGGCTGATACCAACTCACATTCAGGTACTTACGTGAGTTACATTGAAAAATACAGTTAAAGATGTTTTCTTTAAGACATACCTGCATGAATTGGTGTTTTCTTTATCTGGCTGGAGTTCAGCTTTAGGTAAATTTAGTGAACTTACAGCTGCTACACTCACTAGATAGAACAGGCTGTTTATACTGTACTATAGATTGGTTTGACTTGTTGCCTGGAATTGCTTTCTATTCCCCTATGTTTAGTAGTAATCCATACATTGTGTGTTTCTGCAGGGGACACTCCAAGCTTGTGAAAGGGGAAATTGTGTTGAATTCCCAGCTGGAAAAAGATGAGATCATTCTAGAGAAATTTGCCTTTTCTAATGCACTTTGCCTCTCTGGTGAGTCTTGTGACAATAAGATGTGGGCCGGGTTTGTAAGGCCACTGCTTTTTGGTGCTTCGGGCTATCAAGCCACATTCTCAAAGTTAACCCTTTCAAGACCAGAGCCTATTTTGCCTCTTTTTGTACACATGCTATAGCCGCTGGGAGTCTGTTTACAGGGGTCCACTGCTGCTGACATACAACATTCATCAGTGGCAGCAAAAGGGTTAAATTACACTTGTCAGGAGAGACATAAGGCATAATTCTAGTTGTCTGGCTTAAAAGCAGAACTCTGGGCACAAACAATGCAGCAATGGAATGTCCCTCGGGGTCCTCACATCTTATACACTGCGTATAGAACATGATGATTCAGACCTTAGACTACGGGAGTGGAAGGAGAGCGAGGCGGAAAGGAACAGTCTAAGAGTCGGCGCCGAGGATCAGGTGAGTATAACTCTTCTTTTTTTTTTTTACCTAGACAAAAATGAGCAGTTAACCCTTGCAGTCCCACTACAAGAGTTAATAAAATGTATGCCTAGAGTTCTGCTTTAATACGTTTGAAAGGCATGTAAATGAGTGTCAGAAAATTGTCAGAATAACTTAGTGACTCAGAAAACATTAAAACCAAAGCAATAGCCAGAGATCATTCGTAACCCCATCATGACTGAGTCCTTCTTTTTTTCATTTTTTGCACCCATGTCATATTCCACATTTTAAGCCTGAAAATGACTTAAAACCCCCAAACATGATATATTTTCTGAAAGCCAAGACCCTATAGAATAAAATGGTGGTAGTCGCAAATGTTTATGTTGCGCAATATTAGCGCAACTCCTTATTAAACCCCAACATTTAGTGAAAAATTTAATTAAATGCCCCAAAACACAAAAAAAGAAAAAACATACCACGTGGAGGGCCCCCAGAGAGGTTTGGGGAACTTGATTGCTGGGGACTAAGCCCAGAGGAGAGGGCAGCAATGTAAAATGTACTTTAGGCCCCATATTAAAATATAGATACATATTCGGTGTTGGGATTTTTTCCAGTATGTACTATGTAAACGGCTTGTGTCTGTGTCGTTAAAATCTGTGTACACTGGAATTTCTTAATATTGTGTCTTTTTTTGTTTTTTGAACCCATTATGTGATATGTACCGTTGTTTTATCCCTTTTTCGTGAGCATCTAATGTACCTGATATGTCGTAAGCACTATCACCATGCGTTGATCTGACTTAGATGACTTTGTAACAGTGAATATCCTTCGAGATGCTATGTCTGCTGTGTTTTGTTGTTTTACCCAAAACCTTAATAAAATAAATTTGTAAGAAAAAAAAAAAATCTGTGTACACTGGAAACAGCTAGCTGGATATTGTTCAGTACTAAAAGTCATCAATGTTTTTTACAGTGAAGCTGGCCATGTGGGAGTCTACCCTTGACACATTTGTAGAGTCTATCCAATCAATTCCAGAGGCAAGTCATAGAATCACTTTTAGAAGAAATGTGTAATATGTGTATGTATGATATATAATATATACATGCTATATAGCAGGGGTAGGCAAACTCCGGCCCTCCAGCTGCGGTGCAACTACAAACCCCATTAGTCTTTGCAAGACCCTGACAGCCACAGAAATGAATCCCAGAGGCAGATGCAGGATGGGATTTGTAGTTTCACCACAGCTGGAGGGCCAGAGTTTGCCAACCCCTGCTATATAGGTACCTATGATATGCTTAAACAGATTTCAAGGTGATGTGTAACAGTTCTGTGCATTACATATCATGATAGCACAATTACTTAACACTAAAACCCTTCTGGTTTTATTTTCCAGATGCTGAAAGCTAGAAAAAAAATCAAACTGTCTCATGGTGATGTCATGCAGAAAATTGGAGAGTTATTTGCACTAAGGTAAACATATTACAGGCTTAGACACGTGTCATAGGTATTATTGTGTTTTTTTGATATAGAAGTATTAAAGGTCTCCAATCAGACAGCTAAATACAGAGATCAAACACATATGTAGCAATTGTTTTAGCTGCCAAATGATTTAAATATAAAAATAATAATTTCTAAAAATGAATTGTCTTCTTTTAGACATCGTATTAATCTAAGCTCGGACCTTCTCCTCACTCCGGACTTTTACTGGGACAGAGAAAACCTAGAACACCTCTATGATAAAACATGTCAGTTTCTCAGCATAAACCGCAGGGTGAAGGTGAGGTTTTATATTTGTCTCCACCTTTACATGCACACCACGCTGTTCAGAAAAACAGACAGTTACAGGGCTTGGAACAAACCATACAACACTGCCGGGGGTGCTTACAATAGCTTTATTTATATAATTTACAGTGTATTTCTACTTTTGCAGCCAAATTGGGAATGGATCTAATTTACCTAATTCAGCTGACCTTTTTTACATGTGCGTGCTAACTTCAGGACGGAAGTTTCATTGTAATTCTGAAATGTATTTTTCACAGCAGTGGATGATCTTTTCGTGCATTGGTTTTCAGCGCTGAGAAACCAGTGCTACTTCTAACCTTAACCTGATCCTTGGGCTACACCTCACACTTAACCATCACTTTACTCAAGTTCTAAAACTTAACTAAACTAAATGAACACTTAACCATATCACACCACCTAAATTCTATTCATAGCCAATACAGTTTATACGATTTTGGATAGAGTAGTAAATAAAACCCTTGAGTGTGTCCCACTGGGTAGATTTCCTTTCTATTCCAATCTCTACAAACAAGGGGACATCCCTTCTTTGGCAGGTGTCCCCATCCGGGGGCTTTGTCCTCCCCTCCCTGTAAAAACTGTAACATTCTGGATTTCCTATCATTTTGTGTTCTGCTGACACTGATCAGCTGGGCAGATTGAGAGGGTGAATCTCCCGAGTGGAAACACAAGACAGCAATAAAATCCTGGCAAAGGTTTAGGCTATGGATGCATTTTGCTCTTAACCTAAGGGTTACTAGTAAGGATATCCCGATACCACTTTTTCAAGACCAAGTACAAGCACTGTCCCTCATGTACTTGCCGATACCAATTACCAATACTTTTTCTTAAAGGGACATGTGACATGTTTTCTAAAACAATACAGACTAATGATTTTAGGGCAATTTCTCACCAGGGCTGCGTGCATTGGAGGTGACAGGTCCTCTTTAAGGTGACATTAGGGGTCTTTTAGACCTCTAGTGTCACCTTTCCACTTCACTGGATTCACTGAATGTAAATACAGCAGGCAGTGGCTGGGAGCAATAGCCAGCCTGCTATTGGATATTTTAAATTGCAATAGCAGGCTGGCTATTGCACCTGCCCACTGCCTGCTGTCAATCAGCCTGCTGATTGACAGCAGGCAATGGGCGGGTACAATAGCCAGCCTGCTATTGGCTATTGCAATTTAAAATATCCAATAGCAGGCTGACTATTGTTACAAGTGTCCATTCCTTTTCCACTTGATGAAACTGTTTGCTTTTGGTGATATATCTCAGTGTCAGCTGTCCATGCTCCTTATGTGTTTAATAATGCCCTAACCAACATACACTGAAGTTTTCCCTCTCTATGAAAGAAGGCAAGGTCCATTCTGTGTGTAGGCAAGATTTACAGCTTCTCTCCTCTCCTCCCCCGTGAAATTGTGAAAGGGACACAGAGCTCTGCAGCCAGCACCAGCAGGGAGAAGAGACTGTCCACACAGAACACTTACCGCCCGCCACGCTGTCACACTTCCGTCCGGAGAGGTCAGAGCGGAGAGGGAGGCTGCATTTGGTGGAGAGGTATTCCAGGGGAGGGGTTATGCGGGTCAATGGCCGAAGCTATTTGAAAAGCATTGAAAGGGCCGGTATCGGGGCATTTTCAGGAGTACAAGTACTCCTGAAAATGCCCTGTATCGGCCCCGATACCGATACTAGTATCGGTATCGGGACATCCCTAGTTACTATTATTTCTAGAAGGTCAGCAGTGAACTATCACTAAAGATTGCTAAGAGGAGAAATATGATGATGCAGCCTTGGTGGTGCACAACAGAGCTGAGCAGAAGGTTGTTTAATTAAAGTATTTTAAATAAATGTATTTATTTATTTAGGTGATTAATGAAAAACTTCAACACTGTACAGAACTTACTGATCTGATGCGTAATCATCTGAATGAGAAGCATGCTCTGAGGTTGGAATGGATGATTGTCATACTAATTACAATTGAGGTGCGTTCCAGAACCCCGAGATGTAGGACGTGCTATGCATTTTTTTTATCAGAAAATAAAGGTGTTTTTTTAATCAGAATCTCACAACTTTGAATATTTTAGCAATACTGGGTGTGAAGAGCAAAGCCATAATCGTTATTTTGAAGACAACTAGTCACCAGTGGCCATTTGCAACGATCTGCATCTCCACTCTCTTTTTATTTATAAAAGTGCAACCTTATCTCTCAGGGATTACTTTTTCTTAATTATTTAGTTGTATTCTGTCCCTGTCAAAGCAGATGTGCCAGGCTGTAAGGTCATCCTATCTCCTGTGCATGAAACCACCCACCTGAGCACAGTTATTATATAGCCCCTATATGCCGGCTGCATATTTACTTCAGCCTGCTATGGTCAGTGGCTTTGATAACAGCATCCAGCTGCATTTCCCTCCCCTGCTGGCTGCAACTGCACAGTAAGCAGTCATAGAGTTGTACAGGATCATCTCCCAAGTGTCTTCTGTCTTGGTGGACTGGAGACACTTGCTTTTGCTTTTCCTGCCAGGCACCAAAAGTAAAGGCCAGCCCCAGCATTCAAGTTCTGTATATACAGCAGTAGGCCAACATCTCTGCCTGGGGTTGTCTTATGTCTACACATCCAATCACCTTCTTAAACCTGTGTAAAACTCCAATAACTGCCAGTGCATGTTGACACTAGAGAGAGTATATTCTTGCACACTGCTGGGCACTGCTGTGTACCACTTATGCCAACCATATAGCAAAATCCCCAAACTTATGAAAGATCTTTCATATAAATAAAGTACTTCCAGGTGAATAAAATGCAAATCTTGCTTATCACCATCCACAAAAACCTACAAGTATTTGTTTACCCTGTGTAGTCCTTTCATGCAGTGATTTCATATCTTCACCATATTGTTTCCCTGTGTAGTCCTTTCATGCAGTGATTTCATATCTTCACCATATTGTTTCCCTGTGTAGTCCTTTCATGCAGTGATTTCATATCTTCACCATATTGTTTCCCTGTGTAGTCCTTTCATGCAGTGATTTCATATCGATTCCATAAAAACGATATGAATTCCATAACGTTTTTGGACCTCTAGCAAAAGAAACTTCAGAGATAAAGCTATCTTCAACTTCACATTGGAAAGCTACAGTATATGGCCAAAGTTTTTAGACAATTAGCCATGCCCTTGTTTCAGGTTGTTGGACATCCCATTCTAAAACCATGGACACTAATATGGAGCTGGCCTCCCTTTGCAGCTTTAACAGCCCCAACTCTTCTGAGAAAGCTTTTCGCGAGAATTCAGAGTGTGTATGTGGGAATTTGTGCCCATCCAGCCAAAAACCAATTGGGAGGTCAGGTATTGATGTTGGATGAGAAGACCTGGCTCACAATCAGCATTCCAAATCATCCTAAAGGTGTTCAGTAAGGTTGAAGTCGGGGGTCTGTGCAGGCCATTTAAGTTCCTCCACACCAAACCATGTCTTTATGGATCTGGCTTTGTGCACTAGAACACAGTCATGCTGGAATAGAAAAGGGTCTAACCCAAACTATTGCTACAAGGTTGGAAGCATACAATTGTCTATAATGTCTTTGTATGCTATAGCCAGGGCTGTAGCTACCATGTACACACACACACATGCTGGAGACAGGGAGCATGATGTCACATACCGCAAATGTCTGTTGGGGGGCACAACACACACACACATGCTGGAGACAGGGAGAATGATGTCACATACCGCAAATGTCTGTTGGGGGGCACAACTTTATGTTCTTGCCTTGGACGCAAAAGGAGCTAGCTACGGCTCTGGCTATAGCATTAACAATACCCTTCGCTGGAAACACGTGAAATCAATAACAGTGAGGGGTGTGCACATACTTTTGGCAATACAGCTTACCTGACCTCTAAGACATGAGTTACTGTTAGTTATGTTAATGGGATACAGATACATGGAAAAGACTATTTGAATCTATGAATTATCCTTTGTTGGCAGTTTCTGATATATATATTGGTGCTCATTGGTCAGGCAAAACTGATCATTTGTCTATTCTTGTTTTTCCTGAGCATCATAGTTCATTTCTGCGGTCCGGTCTAAATTTTCTTTTTTATTTCTAATAGGTCCTGTTTGAACTCGGGAGGGTTATTTTCTGAGATCTTCAGTTGGGACTCTCATCATAACCCCAGAAAACACCATAAAGGGCTGGAGGTTCCACCACTGGCTTATCAGACTGTGACAATACCCGTACCGGTTTTTTAGTCTTTTTTTGTTTAAGGCAATGTATAATAATATGTAACCATGTTTAATCATGACCAAAGTGAAAAGGGTGCCTTTGTTTTCTTTTTAATTTATTACATGAACTTTTTCTTCTTCAGTGTTTAGTTTGAGTGCTGTATTTGGTGTCTTCCTGTTCTATAGCAGACATGCATTTTTTGTTTAGAAGACCCAGAATGTATTGGTATTTAGAATTTTGCCTGTGCTGTGAAATAAAGACCAATATTTTTATGAATGAAATATGACTCATTATTGCCAAAGACTTTATCTCGTTTCTGTAGTTATTGGAAGGGTTAAGGATGCAAATGCCTCATTTGTGTCTATTTCAATATTTTTTTATTGTTTTACAAGAACAGTAGAAAGTCCACATCCACAATACCAAAAAGTAGAATATACAAATTGATAAATAAACTGTACAACCATACTTGTCTAGTGCAAAACCCAGTAAGCTGGGATACGATAGACAAAAATAAAGCTATTGCACAAAAGCTCATAGTGATACAAAGATAATAAATTTTTGTGCAAAAGCAAAAAAAAAAGGAGTGCTCCTACTGGAGCAGAGAGGGAGAGAGGTGAGTGGTCACTACTGCAGGACCGAGGATCAGGTGAGTGTATCTTCAACATTTGTGGTCCTAGACCATAATGAGCACTTAAATCCCTTGCGGTGTGAGAGTAGAACTACTGAAAGGGTTAATTTTAATAAATCCTGGAGTTCTTCATCTTCTCCAAGCCTGTCCAAAGAATACATTTCACACACTTACCTTTGAACACCGCCATCACCAACGCTGGTCCCTGAAGCTATCCTCCATTCTCAGAACTTCCTGGTTATGGGAGGATACTAAGGATAGAGGAGTCATAGGCTCCTTGTGCCATCAATCTGTTGGGAGGAGAGAAGTGGCTCTCTGTGTGTGTTCTTGAACGCACACAGCTACTTGTGGGCACGTACGGGTGACTCCTCGCCAGCCAGCTAGCTGATGGAGGCACCTGCACAGGGAGCGGGGGAACAGCAATTTAGGAAACAGCTAGAGTAGAAGGAATTCATAGAAATAATACTAAAAAAAACACCTGAAGGTTTAATATCACTTTAAGCACCAAAACAGGAAACTGCCTTCAAGGGCCACACAGTAATGGCAAAAAGTTGCAAGCTGAGCGCCAGAAGGTTAATCTGTAAATCTAGCCCTGAGTGTTGTTGTCACACAGAGGGATATTACACATAGGTTTCCATAGAGACACCCAGTCCACATGACCGCTGTTCATTAACAAGGCAAGGCAATCACATGACAAAAAGCATTCAGCGCATGTTCTGTGCGTCACGTGACAAGCACTACGGGCACTGCCGTATCACGTGACGTTAGACGAACGAACTTTGCAGATTCGTCGCTCTCCATCTATGGCTAAGTCAGTATATACAGTAGAAAGTTTGGACTCCACTTCCCTATAGAAATAATACATTTGTAATTTTTCCAAGTTTTTTTTAAGTAAACGACAGAGAGACGTTTCAGTGATGATGAAGAGGGAGATATGCGAATGTGCAGATGTGAATGTGCAGCGGATGGCGGATTGCGCGGGTGTTTTGATCTGACTTGGCGGACTGGAGTTGGCCTGGGGAGGGGGGCTACTGCACCCTAACACTATGGACAGGCCTGTCAGGTGGGTGATGCAGGGTGGCAGTCCTGGGTGCTAAGCTGATTTAGGAAAAATTACGTTCTGAGAGGATAGAGCTGTTGCTGTAAGAAGACGATCACGTCTTATCGGCTGTAGGGAAGTAAAGCTGGAAATGTGGCCGGGAGATTCGGTTCACTGAGACTAGAGTGTGGATACACCTAGGCAGTGAACTGTACAGCCCGGCCAGAGGCATTGCTGGGAATTAGTGAACTTTTCCATGTATGTAGTTCTTGGTTCCCAAGTCTGGAAAATTCGGTGAACATCCTGTGATCAGAAAAAAAAACAGTAGTGTGTATCACGTGCTGCCTGATGGGAAAAATAAGAGACTAGATTGTAGAAAGTACAATCTCTTGTAGTGGCATCTCTTGTAGTGTCTGTGTTTTGACCCTGTAGAATTGCTTGCTGCAGTGAAGCCAATATGATATCTCTGTCCCCATAAATGGTATGAGTATTGATCTGAATAAGAGCAACACAAAAAGAGGTTTGAAGGCGAGCTAGACAGGGAGGAGAAATATAACTGATAGGGAACATGAATTGGATGGACGTGAATCTGGTAGGCAGAAGGGGCAATTTGGACAATGGAGCAGGCAGGAATAGCAAGCTAGACAATAAAGCTGGTAGGCATAAGGGGCAGGCTGGACAAAGGTGACGGTAGGCTGGGCAACAGAGCTTGCAGGCTGGACAACAGAGCTGGTAGGCATAAGGGGCAGGCTGGACAACGGTGACGGTAGGCTGGGCAACAGAGCGTGCAGGCTGGACAACAGAGCTGGTAGGCATAAGGGGCAGGCTGGACAACAGAGCTGGTAGGCATAAGGAGCAAGCTGGACAACGGAGCTGGTAGGCAGAAGGGGCAGGCTGGACAAAGCAGCTGGTAGGCTGAAGGGGCAGGCTGGACAATGGAGCTGGTAAACTGGAGTGCTGGGCATCGGAGCTGGTAAGAAGGAGTAACTACGAGCCCTGCATGTCTGCTACAACTAAACAAGCCCCACCATACCTGCCAACAGGTGTGATGCAAAGCAGGGAAATATCCATGGTGATATCGACAGCACTTGAAACCTTACAGGGGTTCTGACCCATCCCCACTCCGGGACAATAAAAGTTTTGACTGGAGTTAAGCTTTAATGTAGTTGTGTAAATGTATTTTATATAGATTATATCATACTAGCTCTGTCGTATCAAATCTAGAATATCTCTAACTCTAGATTGCTATTTTTAAAAATCTTTTTTAGGAATAAGAAATCGGTTGATTACTCCCAGTTTTTAGATCTAGAAAATGATGGTAAGTTGGATATTTCTTTGCCTTCTTTTCCTCTGATATAACTGGGGGAAAAACAAGCTTAAAGAGACCCTGTCACCAGACTATTCACCTAAACCCCAAATCTTTATATTGCACACCACACTATATCTTTTTTTTCTTTTTTACTTCCACCGCTCCAAGCTTGCTCCTGTGATGGACTACAACCTCAATACAAACTAGTAGTCCATCACTGGAGCCATTTTTTAAACTTTATTTTATTGTTTATCCGATTAACCGATTAATCGAACTTAATAATCGGCTAACTAATCGATTTTGAAAATAATCGTTAGCTGCAGCTCTACTTCCCATAAGATTATATGTGTGGACGTGCACAGTGATGATTGCAGCAATTCGGAGGAAGGTAAGTAGTTCACCAGGTGGGCTGCCCTCTGGGGTGAGGCAAGTTATTTGAAATGCAACTGAAGCAAAAACTTTATTTTTGTTTTGGATAGAGTTAAAGGGGATTAGAACACCTCTCAGGTTTTTATGTGCCCTGCCTGGGTTCCCTTTAGGTAGGCTTACCCTCTCTATTGTCCTGGTGATAATTATCACTGAAAGTGAAAGACAATCCCAAATTTTGGGTTTTCTTTCAGTGATAACGGTCACCGAAACAAATAGAGAGGGTGAATCTCCCTAATGGGGACACTGAACAGGAACATATGGCAAATCTCCCAATGGTGACAATAATTCTGGTGAGCACCAGGGATTTACCTCTCTTTCCTCTTGTGAAGTATAGGGAAATCTCCCCAATCGGACACATATGGCAAAAAACCCTCCCTTACTCAATCCAAAACTAAAAAAAAAAAAGTTTTGGCTCCAGTTCTACTTTAAAGTAGAACTTTAATTAATCTACTTTTAATATTGCATGAACTATTTTTTGTGATTGCACTGGATCAGAACACAGGCATTGTTGTGCCAAGCGTTCTGGTGCAGGCAAGGGGGTCATGTGGCTGTGGGGCCATTGATTGGAATGCACCGCCATGTTCCCTCCTGCCCCAGAATGCTTGGGGGAGTTTAGTATGCGATACAGTGCGTTCCAGCAGCTAATCATGCTGGAACACACTGTAATTAATGTGAACAAGCCCTGAGGGAAGGAATAATCTCTTAAATAGGCAAACATCAGTTTTTAAAAAAAGTAATTCAATGGGAACAAATAACAAATGTAAAGAAAGTTATCCTAATTTAGTTGCCAAAATTGAAATCCACTTTAAGCTCTGAGGTATACATCTAGGGAAGGGGGGGGCGACTGGGAGGAGGAAGGGTGACCTTTGCTAAAAATCCTGCCTGAATGTACTAAGTGTGGATACGAATGTGTGTATATTTAAATGCAGTTTTACCATGTCTGTGCCTTATCATTTTGGGATATGTAAGCTGATAAAAGCCAATATGCACACTGGCCTTAGGTTGCCAGTGCTGACCCAACAATGTTATACTCTTGACCCCATGCCTTACGTTGTCATGTATTACAATGTTTGAGTACTGTTTTGGACTGTTTGAAAACTGTTGGAAAACTAATAAAAACTAATTCCAACACTAAATGCAGTTTTGCTTTTCTTGAAACAGATGAAGATTTTGCATCCTCCGTGCCTTCAAGTAAAAAATCTCGGGTGGAGACAAAAAAAGAAAAGAAAGAAAAACCCACAAAAAAACCTATAGATGAGACATCATCACCAAAGAATTCACAGGGTAAAAGGTGAGTCATTGTCACATACAAATTATATATATATATAGCGCTTAGGTACTCCTTGCAGCCAGGTAGCCGTTATTGTGATTATTTAAGAAAAAAAAATCCTTTGTTATGCACCTACTGCGCATACACACATACCCTCTATTTGTTTAAGTACTTTTTGTAAGGTTGTACTTGCAGGCACCTCCAGACATTCTAATCTGATGCTTTACGCTGCATTGACACAGATAGCAAAGGGGGAGTTTTGTTGGCAGTTCTGACCCATGCCAATAGTCCTAGAAGGCTGGGTCAAAGTATTGAACTAAGCTGAATTGTTTACTTTAACACGCATAAAGTTAAGAACAGCAACACTGTCCATCTTTTGCCTACAGACCACTGCTGTCCATGTACTACATTGTTTTTTTTGAGAGGGATAGTGGCTCGGATATGCATGTATAGACATAGCCAAAGATGTTTTATCTGGCTGACACCCCAGATCTGTTCTTACTGAGAGTGGTGTGATGCTAACCGTGTTACAAAGTGCCTCTGATGGTAAGGTCCAGTTACTACAGATGATGAGTGTCTTCTCTCAACAAATTGTAGCTGTCATTACTCTGAATACCCAATCATGTGCTGATAAAATAAGCAAACAGGAATTAGCTTTTCACATGATTGCTCAACTATTATTTATACCTTAGTAGTACTTTAGCATCAGGGTTTGTATTCATTTGTGTAGAAGTAAGAAGCATGTTGTGTTTTGGGTGAACTACCCTTTCTTAAGCCTTGAAAAAGTGAAGTCCACCTGAAACGCATTGCCTAATGACAGCCCAACCAGGAAGCAAACTTAGAGCCTGCCCACCACTCTTCAGCTTACAGAGGCATCATTGATACTGTAGGATTAGTTGTAATGACTTACCATGGAGATTGGTATTTGACTCTGTATGATGAGCATCACATTTTTGGAATGTTTGTGAGTGCAACCATATATTTGATCATTTACTACATCCATGTTTTGAATGTCATGCACTAGGGGTGCATCCTCTGTTTTTGGTTTATGTAGTTTGGAGTCTCCTTGCCTCTCCTTGACAGTGGTTCCACCATACCTAGCTATTGAATTGAAAGTTTCTCTATAATTTGACTAATACAGTATTTTAGAAGCCCTCTGGAGGAGGAAGCCCAAGTAGTTTAAAACTGTTGTTACATTTTTACATTATTAATTGTTGCATTTACAAATAATAATGCTTTTCTTAAACTTTTATTTTTCAGGTTACCTTTGGATGAAAAAATTTACAAGAGAGATCTGGAAGTCGCTTTGGCTTTGTCTGTGCAGGAAACATCAGTCATCATAGAAAATGATGAAAATACTTCCAGATCTGGTATGCTTCCTATGGATAAACAGTCATCTGCGAGACCTGGCCTTATGTATTATCTAGTTAGTGTAGTTACATGTAGAGCAGAAGTCCAACTAATATCGCTATTTGTTAGTAAAAGTAAAAATATATATTATATACGCACTCATGTCATGTTAAAAATTAGGTACACCCCATATAAATTGTTGAATTTTCCAACATAATTTGAACATAATATGATGATGTACTTGCATAAGAACATCACTTATACTTGCATTTTCAATCACTTATTCATCAAAAATATTAATACATATAATGGTGTACTGTGGAAAAAGTAAGTACACCCTTGGCATCAGAAGCTGGTATCGCCTCCTTTAGCAAAAATTACATCTTGCTGACATTTTGTACCGCTGCCCCCCAGTCTCTGACATAGACTTCAATTTTGACCACTTCTCCATGGAAAATTCCTTCAGTTGCAAGATGTTTGTGGGGTTCCTTGCATGAACTGCTTGTTTCAAAATCCCCTACAAAATCTCACTGGGTATCAAATCAGGGCTCCGTTTCTTTTTGAGACATTCCTTAATGGATGTGCTAGTGTAATTGGTAGCATCATGTTAGACTCCTTTCCGGTTCAGCTTCAACTTTTGGACTGATGGATTCCCATTCTCATTAAGCACACTTTGATCTGATGCAGAATGTATAGTTCAGGGGTGCCCACAATTTTTTGTCTTGAGATCAAGACAATTAGAATGCTGTAGGATTCATGGTCCCTTGGTGCACTTCAGAGGACTGAAGGTATGTGCAGGTACATACTGCTTTCTATGTATATTTCTTTTTCTTTTTTTCCCCCTGGACAGGCATGCTTAGGAAAAGCTGCCTAGTTGAATACATATCAGTTATAGCCTGTGAGATGGATGTATTAAAAGAGATGAGTTAGTTTTGCGATTGCATTTTTCTTGCATTGTTTGTCTTTTGTGTTTTTTTGCAGTGTCTCCTGCCTTCTTTCCTGGGGAGAGCAAAGATCCAGAAGTGTCTTTCTCAAACTGCAGCGTAGACAGCGATGTTCTGGGTAATATATTTGTTATGTTTTTATAGACAAATACATATATAATATTAAAAAGCGGAAAACTATTATAATGCACTGTGAGAATTACATTTAGGGAAAGTTATATTCAAAGGATTGCACCATATGCTTCCGAGCCCCCTCTTTTTTTAGACATAAGGTCCCTCTTTCTCTACACATAGCTTGTAAACAAAAGTAGAAACCTTGATTCAGAGTGACATACTTTGCTTGCTGCAGTCTTTCCCTATCTGATATGCATTCAAAGAAAGACATTCCTTTGGCTGGAAGTGTTGCTGTACCATTTGCAAGCAGGGGGAATGTATTTCACTCCTTTGGGTAGGTTTAGTAATAAGGAAGGAAAATTAAAAAAAACAAATTTTTGTAATAAATAGTTGTGGCACGCGACTATCTTTTTGTTGCTGTCTGGATTTATTTTTTTCCTCCATTGTCTCCAGTACAGAAAGTGATAGGAAATTACAAAGTTTTGAGTTCTCAAAGAAGAGAAGGGAAAAAATGTTAATGGCTAAACCAATTCTGGTGACAATGGCATTTTTCCTCACTTTGCAGAGATTTTCTCTTGCTTTCTGCTGTGTTTGTGGGGAAGGGGCTGAAACGGAATTCCTCAAACCTTTCCCTACTGCAAAAAATTGTAAAAAGTTGGTGTTTTACAAACATGGAAGTGGCTAGGGTATTTTCGGTTTAATGGTGATTCCTAAAATAATTAATTTTCTCCCTCCTAATGCATTCCCTAGGACTTGATGAGATCACAGAGAGCAACGAAGAACCAGTTAATGGCAGGAGCCGCAGGCAAGCTGCATCTAAGGCTATTACAGAGCAGAGAAAACTCCTGAAAGATGAGAGCAGCAGTGAAGATGATGCAGATGAATTTAAACCAGACACTGCAGTTTGTACGTCACAAGTCTACTTTATTGCTTCCAAATATCAGTGCAGCCATACACAAACAATATTATGTACAAACTCACATGTGAAATACACAGCATTTAGTGAGTTTGGTGTGTGTTGCTTTCAGGTACCTAACATCAGTCAGTCTCCAATCTGAAAAAAGTATGCAGCAATGGAAGACAAAAACTAATGCTCAGAATGCTTGTTCTGACTTGGAAAGCGGACAGGCCAGCAGATCAGTATAACAGCTAGGTTGCTAAAAGGAGGATACAGGCAAAAAAAATGAAAGCCCAATTGCAGCTTCTTTTGGAGTTTCCCCCAACTTGGCCTTTTTCCTTCAATGGTGGGGATCTTTTAAATGCTGCAAATAATGGCACTACATAATGATGTCTGCACTGTTCTCTGTGGCATTTTCTTGTGAGTCCAGGGCAACTTAGTGACGCGCCTCAAAGGGGTGTATCCTTGACGCCTTGAGGTTACATAAAATGGGTTGAATAACACTGGGCGTCATTTTACCCACAAGAGGAGCAACACTAGGCTCCACATCAGTAAGTCTTTGGTGGACAGTGCAAGATATAGGGTGAGTATTACAGTGAGAGCTGTTTTTCATATTTTATAATGTGCAGGGCAACTGATAATAAATATATATATATATATATATATTAACTCCTGTGGAATAAAATTGCTATCTCTTGGTAAAGCTTACCTGTCACCTCTTTATTTCAGATGGGGACTCTGATAGCGATGAGAGTTACAGTGGTGACGATGAAGAATTTGAAGTGAAGAAATCCAAAAAAGCAGCAACAAGCAAAGTTCCAAAAGCCAAGAATGAGAAGAAAGGAAAAAGCAACCCAAAGGCCCGGAGAAAAGGTAAGCAGATTATGTGATATGCCTCAGAGCCCTTCATCACAAAATATTGATGTGAATACAAAAGCTCACTCCTTTGTGTAGCATATACAGTATGTGACTGTGTTGCATTTTGTACTGGTATGTGGTGACTGGAGAATTTGTTGTGTAATCTGACAATACTGCACTGCCAATGTAACAGCTTTTCACTATTTCAGTGCAATCCAGGAATAGATACATTGGCATGCATGTTCGTAGTGCCCTGTGCACTGAGAATCTACATCGCAAAACATGACATTTTCACAAATGAGTGGTCATTTCAGTCTTTCAGAGGATAAAATATAATAATCCTGTCTCTGGAGCAAGGCAATTTTTGCCTTTTAGTATATTTTACAGTACCTTTTCCAGATGTGTTTAGACAGGTCACATCACATGACTCCAATTCTTAATGTACATTGAGAAGTACATAATGTGTTTTCAGTTATGGATACAAAATGTAAGGGGCCAAAAGACCATGGCTGTATTTAAAGCTTTAGCCTTGTGTGTTTTGATAAGCTACCCCCATTTTCTAAAACTTGATAAATTGTGGCTGAAGTGTGTGTGTAAACTGTAACAATAAACTTCAGCTATATGCTCTTTTGCTCTGTTAAAACTACTGGAAGTGTTTTGTTATCTGTTCGATAAGTTGAAGAAAGAAAACTTTGGTGCTGCCATAAATCTTGTGAGCTGATAACTTCCCATGTACTTTGTGGTGCTGCCTTCTTATCGGCTACATTATTCCCAGTTATCACTGTGGACTGCAGAAAACTTCTCTGTTATGGAGAACAGGGGTAGGTGTTCTGTAATCCTGTCCTAGGGTCACAAAGCTGCTGTATAAATAAGGTACATTGGGTGAGCGTTGTCACCCTAGAACAGGAAGTGTGTTACTGGCAGGATCCCCAGATAAAAAATAAAGGAAACTAATGCAGCTATTACATCTAGGGACTGGTAAGCTGCAATACATTATTTTGGGTTTAGATACACTTTAACTTATCTGCTACCATATTTCAGATGGTGACTCTGAGAACGACAGCAGTTTTAGTTGCGATGAGGAGTTTGAAGTTAAGAAATCTAAAAAGACGACAGAAAGCAAGTGTCCGAAAACCAAGAATGCAAAGAAAGAAAACGCCTCGTTGTCCAAGGCAGCCTGTAAGAAAACCGTATATAGATAATTTCTCTGATTTATTTTATCAATATACAATGCTCAGCCTGGTGCCTCACACATCTGCATGTCTCCTATGGGAATTTGTGTTGTGATCTGTAGTCCAATAAACTTGAATTCTAGAAATATCTACAGGAAGGGTGTATGTTCTCCCTATATTTGCATTTCTTTCTGGAATTTTAGTGTCTTCCTACAGTTCATAAACTTGCTATAAGGTCAGTTGGCTTCTTTCACAGCATTAGTACTGTATATGTTAGAATATGTGAAGATATTCTTGTGCTAGGAACATTATATAGCGTGTGTCGATGAGGGCGTGTGTCGATGAGGGCGTGTGTCGATGAGGGCGTGTGTCGATGAGGGCGTGTGTCGATGAGGGCGTGTGTCGATGGGCAAATGTCGATGAGTGCCTGTGTCGATGAGTGCCTGTGTCGATGAGTGCCTGTGTCGATGAGTGCCTGTGTCGATGAGTGCCTGTGTCGATGAGTGCCTGTGTCGATGGGCAAATGCAGTTTGCCTTTAGGTGCACTCTATTTGCCTTTGGGATCAGTACTGGATGCTTCTGAGATCATTCACTGTTTCGAAGCTGCACCACGAAGCTTTTGCATTCCCATAGACTTCTCGGGAATTAAACCGTTCTGATGCAAACAAAAGCCCATCGACACAGGCTTTTGTTTGTTTTACATACGTTGTAGTACATAAAATAATAAACTTTCAATCTCATTATACGCAGCAATTCCATCTCCTGCTTCTGTGTCCATTAAAATAAAGCCAATGACAGCCAAGCATACATCATCCTCATCCCCAGCCCTCGCAAAACCAACTGGACACAGCAGCCACTCTGTAGGAATGAAAAGACCGGCATGGAGTCCTCCAGGTAAGCAATGAGATTTTCTTTCTTTGTGCCCCTTTTAATTACAGTAAGAGACTCCTTAAAATAATTACTTGACTATCATGCTAATCCATTTGCTTCAATAGTATTACTTGTGGTATTATACTTGCCACTTCCTGGGACAAGTATCGGGAGTTCTGAATTTTTTATGTGCATGTTTTTTCTAGATGACTCGGGAAGTATTGAAGCCAGAGGTAGCCAGTCAGGTTTTCCCATCTTGTTGTGAACATGTTAGACTTGGGGCCCATTCATATTGTGCTTTATGTTAATGCATTGAGTTATGCATTAAGGCGCATTGCATTAATCAGCCCAATAAATTGGAATGGGCTGACACAAGGCAGTAAGAAATGTACCGGACTAGAGCTGCAGCTAACGATTATTTTCAAAATCGATTAGTTAGCCGATTATTAAGTTCGATTAATCGGTTAATCGGATAAACAATAAAATAAATGTTAAAAAATGGCTCCAGTGATGGACTACTAGTTTGTATTGAGATTGCACTCCATCACAGGAGTAAGCTTGGAGCGGTGGAAGTAAAAAAGAAAAGAAAAAAGTGTGGTGTGCAATATAGTGAAATGGAAAGTGTAAAATTATACAGCAATGAATGCAGAATGGCACCGGCTATAGAGGACTACAAAACCCAGCAATACTACATTGTACAGCGCAATGCAGAATATCACCAGCTATAGAGGAGCACAATAAATCCCAGCAATAGTACATTATAGCTGGTGGTATTCTGCATTGCGCTGTATAATGTACGTTTGCTAGGTTTTGTAGTCCTCTATAGCCAGTGGTATTCGGCAGTGCACCACTGTATAATGTATTATTACTGGGATTTGTAGTCCTCTATACAGCGCAGTGCAGAATATCACCAACTATAAAGGAGTACAACAAATCCCAGCAATAGTACATTATACATACAGTGTATAATGTATTGCTGGGATTTGTATTCCTCTATAGCTGATGGAACATATACAGCACAACGTACCATCAGCTATAGAGGAATACAAATCCCAGCAATACATTATAGAGCACCATGTGTGGGAGTGTGCAGGCTTACCTGAGCAGTCTTCCAGCAACTTGCTTCTGAGATTGGGCCTGTCTATCGGCGGCTGTCATCACCCCACACCTGCTCCTCCTTACTACATCTCCCCGCGTCCCTATGCCGATCGAGGAGTGTGAGGCGGGAAGGAGGTGCGGCGTGTAGAACGTGGATGAGGGCGGGTCTGGCAGCGGTGAGCGTGAGTTGGGGAGGAGGTGCGGCGCGCAGCGTGTGTGGAGCCGTGAACAGGGCCAACTGATCAGAAGCCGATTAATCGATTATTGAAATAGTTGACAACTTTTTCAATAATCGATTATAATCGATTATGTCGATTAGTTGTTGCAGCCCTATACCGGACTGTTTATTTCAATGCACCTTACTATGACACTCGGACAAGTTCACATCCTTGTGCTGACACACGTGCATTGGGATGCTTTTGCAAGGTGTGTTGAGGTGCCATAAAAATGAATGGCACCTCTGCCGTGTTAACATGCATTGTGGTGACAGATGTTTTACTGCAACACATAACTATGAGTGGGCACTAAGGGAGAGGTTAATGTCACAGAGGCTTGAGTAAGATGTTTCAATGAGAGAGCAAAAGTTTTAGCATGGGTAAAGACAATTGTGTCTTTGGCATCCTATATACAGACTCGTATAGGTCTTCTACAGGCTCTAGTGCTGTCACCGGCTTATGTTATGTTCAGTGATTGTATCTTAATCTTTACATTAAGTAAATTCTTTTAATAAAAATAATAATTGCTTTTTAGAAATTCTTGGATGTAAGGCTGATATGTAGGTGGCCCCAGCAGTGTTAACACATGGTTAGGCAAGGAGCCATGATAGAGGGGCCTAGTAGAAAGGAGGACCTTTTGGCAGGTCTTCATTTGCCAGCACTGCCCCCACACACATGACCCCTTTTAATGTAAAACTGCTACATGTTGGCTTCACATCCAAGGGTTTTTGTAAGTGGTTTTACCCAGCAATTAATTTATTAAAGTGATTAGTTGCATTATATGGGTACGCATTCCTTCTGCGTGTGTGTTTTTTGTTTTTTTTTCTCTCTCTGTGCTCTAGTTAAACCATTTCCCTGCTGTTGGATAAGGAAGCCTAGCATATACTTTGTTGGAGGGTATTTGATCAGTATAGGGCTGCAGCTAACGATTATTTTCATAATCGATTAGTTAGCCGATTATTACGTTCGATTGTCCCCCGGCTGACACCCGTCGCGCTCACATCCCTGGCACCCGTCGTGTGATCGGCCCGGCTAGATGTGAGGAAGGCCGGGATTGGAGGAGAGCTGGGCCGCGGCGGCGTGCGCGTTCGGTGGCGTGCGCTGCTTGCGGGGCTTGAGTGTGGAGCCGCGAACAGGCAAGGTAATAGCCGAATAATCGACGATCGAAAACGTTGGTAGTGTTTTCAATCGTCCATTTTAATCGACTAAATCGAATCGTTGTTGCAGCTCTAGATCAGTATCATCCATTATATTTATAAGCCCTTTTACATTGCACTTGGCTGTCACTCAATTCTAAATTGCTCTAAAGTCTAAACTATTAGTGTTTTGTGTTTGCATAGTTTTGTGTGCACTGTCAGAATTTTCACATATTGTCCCTTTTCCTTCAGCTTCTTCGGGAAGTGTAGGAAGCCCACTGACTGGGGTAACTGTGCGGTCACCTAACCAAGGACTGCGTCTCGGCCTGTCAAGATTGGCAAGAGTCAAGCCGTTGCATCCAGCTCCCGTCCATCACTAAATTTTTGTTTGGTGAACCATCTGAAGGGTGAAGAAAACAATGCCACTCAGTAGGAAATGAAAGACCCCGGATTTTCTACTAAACATAAACTGGCTATTTACAAAATATAAATTGCCTACCAGCTTCCTTCTGCAGAACAGTTGGAAATGTACGGCAAGCAGAGATGCCTCGGCTGACGAGATGTTCTGGTATTTATAGTCCTGCCTCAGCTGAAGTGTCACCAATTGTTTGGCCTTGTTGGATTATCTATGACTGAAACCACACCGAGACTTAGGAGACACAAATGCTAAATGCAGTCCTTTTAAATGGCTATTCTGAGACTCTCAGAACTGTTAAACAGCTCTTACCATTTGCTTTTCCAGGCTAATTAGTTTTAATACGGGGCAAGTTTTAAATGTAAACACTTGGAATCTTTTAGGTGTCATTAAAAGGCTCAATGGGAAAAAGTTACTATTCCTACTTTCTAACAGACCAATGCATTTTCTTTCATAGGAGAGGTCAGGGGTGTGTGAGGCCTGAGCCCTGATCTGAAATAAGCAACACAGACTTTGTCAGGTTGTTGGGAGAGGCACTGCCATAGACACTGCAGAGGTATGACAGCACATGCTTTGACACTCATTCCGCAGACTTCACATAGCCCATGGCTGTCCTGTACAAGATATAGTGATGGCTGTAAACCATTAAACAGTCTCCCTCTATGAGGCAGAGACAATCTCTATCTATTAGCTCCACTATCTAAAATCACCAAGTGAACGTTCTGTTATGCTGTAATACAGTATCATTATATGATTTGCCAAAACAATGAGACCTACATATGGGAATGTATAAATATCACCTTAATACAATTTCTTAGGGGTGTGTGTATTCTATTGTAATATTTATGTATACATGTTTTTTTTTTCTGCCCATTTATTTCTCTAAAGTCTTTTGTCCAATTAAATCTATTTATGGCGTTGCTTGCAAGCTAGTAAAAAAACCCAGTACAAATCAGTATGGAGTGATCTTCAGTAACATACCTCTAGCGTTTGTATAGATGAAAACAGGATTATAATTGCACAGACATGGCTGCCTGAGGAGATCAGATTCGGCAAACAGTGTATATTCAGTAGAGTCTTTCTAACCCTAGCACTACACTAGTGGTTTTAATCTTTTAAGATATAACTGCATTGCGGCAGTCACCTAAATAGGCTAGAAACATCCCACTCACTAAGTGTAGCAAATTATCGCTAAGAAATTGCTTCTTCTGGAGTAGGCTACACAAGTACTCTGCAGTAGCATCTTGCAGCGATCAAACGCACGTGAATGGAGCATTGTTTGATAATGCAAAATTGATCGCTAACAATTGTTGGCAAGTGGTTAAATCTCTTGGTAGCAAGATATTAAAGTCACCCCTGTAGTTCTAGGGTTGTTGTATGTGTCCAAGGATGCCAAGTGCTTTCTGTGATGTATTTTAATTGGGTGCCACCTATTTTATGCCCTTCAGAGCAAATCAATTTTATACAATTTGTATGACAGTAGTGAAATGTAAAAATGTAAATACAGTAACCTGAATAAAATGTAATATTTTATGTATTTATAATCCTGTAATAAGGTTGGTTATTATTATGTATGCTAAATTGTTCTACTTCAACTTGCATAGGATTTTGTGTCCCATGCTGTACATTTTAAGGAGCTTGGGACCCATCAAGTAATGCAGTGACCATATCCAAGTAGGCTGCAGGCAAGCTGTACTCGGAGGGATTTCTAAACTCTAAAGTGATTCATAATCTTTTTGGGGAGTATGTTGCTATGGACAACAGCTATTATTTCACTACACTTTTTATAGCTCCTCTCCTACCTATATGCAGGTTCTGCCTGTGTGGAGTCGTGTGAGTTTTCTGACGTTCACATCCTGTACGACAGGTCCAATCTGGTGGCAATCCCACACGCGGAGTGAAATAGAAGCTGGTGTGGGTTCCGCACTTAATTAACAAAAGGTTTGTGTAGGTAGGCGGAGCCTATATCTCGATGGCTGTCCTGGAAGATTCCTGGAAACAGAGTTATCAGGTAATCAACTCATGTTTTTTAATATAGAAGACTGCTGTGACCCTTTTGTTAATTAGGCACAGAACCGGCGCAAGTTTCTATTCCACTCTGCGCAGGAGGCGTAGATAGAGCAGAAACAGATCTATCTGCTTTGTTAATACAGCGCACACCTCTTACATGATATTTAAATGAATCAACAACAAGTAGAAGTAAACTGACTCGTCAAAAGCTATCGGAAGGAATCTGGTCACTATTGCGGTTTATTCCTTGGCTGTGGTATATCTGGAGCAAATGATTGTAGCCTTAAACTGCAGCTGTGATGGGCTGCTGGAGATTTCCCATCTTATTTGCCATATAAACGTACGTTGGTTGCAGAGAGCACTTTGTCCTGGTTCTGAGGAAGGGGGCGTGGCCCGGGAAACGCATCAACCTAGGTATACTGTGCTGTCGCACAGGAACCACCATCTGTGCAGCTCTCAAATGCTGTGTCTTGCTTTTTGCTAAAATGAGGATCCACCTTTTGATTTTGAAGTCTCATTGTCATCTACTCTTTTGTGATTATTATTCTACTTTTGCAATTTGTCTAATAAAAATGCATCTACACTAGGGAAGGCGCCCCCTGTTTTTGTGTTCTCATTAGGTATCACAGTCTCCCTGACTGATGTGGGGCAGCGACCTGTAGAACTTCTGTATGTATATCTCTTCAGTGGAGTGGTCATCTCTGGCGCTATTGGCGTTTTTATATATATTATTGTGTGTGTGTGTGTGTATATATATATATATATATATATCTTTTTAAATCTTTCATTGGAGATGGTTTATACATAAGACACCATAGGCAGCTTCTATTGTTTAGAAAAGATGGCAATGTGTAACAAACCAAGCGTGAGTGTGGCGCAAACTAATGTGCAATAGCATGCAATGTACCACCCAAGCCCTGAGATCTTTAACCCTTTGACCTGCAAATGTAGTTTCCCACTCCCGAGCCCCCTGCTTAACATTACATATGCTATGTGATTGGGAACATAGGACAAATATAAAGTAGGTGTTATCCCAATTTGGCTGTAAAAGTGGAAATTCTCTCTTTTTTTTTTTTTTCTGAACCAGATCTCCATCCTTAGTCTAAGAGTCATCTCTTCAAGCTGGATGTATACTGCGAAATCTATTTTTGTTCAAGCTGAGCAACCACTTTCTGTTGTGGTGAGTTGCTTCCTTTTTTTACTTCCTGATCAAGCTGGGCTGACCCTCTGAAAACCTGTAGCGTTCCAGATATCCCACCTAAGATATCACACAAGATGGGCTCTTCCACCACTCTGTGGATATCCGTGTTCTGTCTGTGGTTGACAGGTAAGTGTTGAGTTTCTGTTTGGTCATAAGAAGCAGTCTTTGCTCACTTCATTAATTTAGTATTTGTTTTTTATTTATCCTCTTTCACTTCTATATTCTTTATTATTTTTATGAGTTGTATTTGGGTTTTTTTCCTTCTTATTCTTTCTGTATCAGATCAAACAAATATACATTGCCCAGCAAAGTATTTTATTACATTTTTGCTCAAACACTTGTCATCGTTTTTGTAAACCGCCCCAACTGTCTCAGTACGGCTTCCCTGACCTTTCTGTCCAGTACAAGATCAAAAGGGTCAGCAAAGTCTCCAGCAGATCTTCATGTTCTAGCTTGGAAAAGGAAGGAGAGGAGGAGGAGGAGGAAGGAAGAGAGAGGGGACCAGTGGGGATGAGAGTGGCTTGCCTTGCTGTGTGTTTGTGGAGACGCACACAGCTTACTAGTACACCCAGGGATGGCTCCATAGGACCCTGCAAGGGAAAGGAGTCACCCTAAAAGAGGTTATCAGGACCAGTGCTCAGGAAACCAGCTGATTCTGCAGGAAGCTAAAACTTTTAATCATCAAAGAGCAGCATACGTTGTAAGTGATTTAGTCAGCATTTGAAATAGTCTAAAAACATTTTTACTTTAATAGCCAACTCCAAGCCGTACACCTTTGGGTGGAGATTCCCTACCCCTTAGCATTGAAAAGCTTAGCAAATGAAGAAAAGGTGTATTCATAAACATTTTCACATAACGCTCACTTAAGAATCTAAATAGTGGTCCTTAAATTATTATACTTGGTAAGTCTGAGTTGAAATATATCGAAACCCAAATTGTTTTGTTGGGTTTTGATTTGGATAGAGTGTGGAATGGTTAGAATGTCTGTCAGGTTTTATATTGTGTGTTTCCACTGGGGAGATTCACCCTCTATTTGTTCTAGTGACCACTTTCACTAGGAGTGACAATGAGGGAAAATCTTTCAATGAGGGCACTTGTATGGGTGACACGTCTCTAAGAAAGGGTTTCCTTTACTTTACAGAGATATTTCTCACATCCTGATGTCTCTGAGACAGGTAGTGAATTAAAAACTCTCCAATTGGACTCGGACAGCAAAAAGAAAAACTTGAAAGAGTTGACCTACTCTATACAAAACTTAAAGCTGAACTCAGGAGCAGTCATTTTCTCTCTAAATACATAAAGGCATGTGCATTCTGGAACTTCCTGTAATAGAGACCAGTCATCATTGCTCTATTTACTTGTGCAAGATAACTGGTCTTGTATCGGCTCCCTTTTTTAGTTTTCTGCAGGCAGCCTGTAGAGGGTGGAACCTGTGGGGCTCTCCCATACCTACTCTCTGTGCAGCACAGTGGTGACACTGCTACTTTTACAATATTTGGGTTTGCAAAAGCATTGTTGCAAGTAGATTTATATCCTGTATGGCTATTGAGAAATATATTTACACTTACAGTTTTTGTGTCCGGAGTTCAGCTTTACAAAAAAAAAGACTTTAGATATACATTTTAAAAAATGTATATTTATGCCCTAATTTAGCTTTGCAGGCACCCATACATTTTCCTATAGGATTCTGTTATCTTTTTTTAACAAATAAACATTTACAAGTATTCCCATAGCACCAAGGATCAGCTGAAGTC